TTCCCTGCTTTCCCTTGAAAATGCTACAGGGTCACTGTTGGTTGCAGATTGGTGGCGCTTTCCACCATCAGGTCTGTGATTGCTAAACGGAACTTCCATGTCCAGAGGCAGTGTTCCGTGGAATGCTGTATGCCGGGGACAGGATGAGGGGCCTTGCCTGGGTTTCCTGTAAGCTGCAAGTTGTCCCTTTGTGCTTCTCTCAAGGTGAAGTTGTGGACGACCAAATCCACGATGCACGTGGGCTTCCTTTGTTCATCCTGCTAACAAGACGTCTCTCTCTCTCTCTTCCATGGGCTGGCAGATCCGGATACGAGATCCGAATCAGGGTGGCAAGGATATCACAGAGGAAATAATGTCTGGCGCCAGAACTTCCTCCACCCCCACTCCTCCACAGGTAACGGATGTTCCTTCCTTCATCTTTGATCTTGGTTCTCTGCGGTATAAGCCGGGCTTTCAAACATGCGGCCCGGGGGCCGGATCAGCCCCCCCCCCCCCCCCCCCCGGAGGGCTTCTATCAGGCCCGCAGTGGAACTGGCTGTCTTCTGCTTCTTCTTCCAGTTCTGCTGCTGCTGCGTCATCGTAGGTTTGCAGCTTACAGATACACACCTGAACAGCATACTCAAGATTGCAGCAGCACAGACATTTTGATGCAACAATTCAGAGCAAGAGGTGTCAGTTATCAGGCACTGTTAAATAAAATATTGCAAGACACACATGGCCAGGCCCAACAAGGTCTCATTTATGTCAGATCCAGCCCTCGTAACAAATGAGTTCGACACCCCTGGTTTAAGCCTTCTCTCATGTTTCAGGGATACAAGCCCGGTAGGCCCTTTCCCAAAAAAATGTAGGAGTTGCGGTGAGGATGGGGCTCTTAGAGACAATTCATACCATCCGTTTCTCCTGTATGCGAGACATTATGGCCCGTTCTTGGGACAAAGCTCACACACGGAAGTTATCTAATCCGGCATGTCACTTTTGCGACCCCTGCAGTCATAGTTGCCAGAAATCTGCAGATTTCTGTAGATGTACAAATGGCGTATCCTGGTTCCCATTCTTAATCTTTATTTGTCACGGCAGAAGCCAGTAAATCTGAACATTATACATAACCAATATAAACAGTTTGTTAAAATATAAGAAGAAGAGATTGGATTTATACCCCGCCCTTCACTACCCAAGGGAGTCTCAGAGCGGCTTATGAACTCCTTTCCCTTCCCCTCCCCACCACAGACACCCTTGTGAGGTCGGTGGGGCTGAGACAGCTCTTTCAAGCTCTTTCAGAATAGCTCTGACCTAACTATGACTTGCCCAAGGTCATCCAGCAGCTCCTCCACTTGCAGCTGCTGAATGACCTTGGGCAAGTCATAGTTAGGTCAGAGCTATTCTGAAAGAGCTTGAAAGAGCTGTCTCAGCCCCACCTACCTCACAAGGGTGTCTGTTGTGGGGAGGGGAAGGGAAAGGAGTTTGTAAGCCCCTCTGAGACTCCCAAGTGAAGGGCGCATGACCCATTTCCCCCAAGGGCCCCACACCTCGTGAAGTCTTTCTGTGACCACGATGGTTTGATCTCTCGCCCCTGCGATTGTACAAGCGGCCTCTCAGTCATAAGAATATAAAACATAAGAGACGCCAGTGTTGGATCAGGCCAAAGGCCCATCCAGTCCAACACTCTGTCACACAGTGGCCAGAAATACCAGTGCCATCAGGAGATCCACCAGTGGGGCCAGGACATCAGAAGCCCTCCCACTGTTGACCCCCCCCCCCCAAGCACCAAGAAGACAGAGCATCACTTGCCCCAGAGCCCCTATCTATACCTTGTGGCTAATAGCCACTGATGGACCTCTGCTCCATATGCTTATCTAATTCCCTTTTGAAGCCATCATAGTTTAGATTCTCACCACAAATGTATCCCGAGTGTCTTTGCACGGGGTGAAAGCATGAAATCCTGTTGTCTGCTGCAGATCCTTTTCTGGAAGAGAAGGGGGGGGGGGGCCGCTTGCCGCTTGGAGTTCGTTAGAAAGCCGTGCTTTGGGCAGCGGGCGGTGGATGAGGCCAGAGGGCATTTGGCACTGGCTGCTTATTTGCGTTGGTCTGTAAAGATTAAGCCTGCTTACTGTTTAGAATGCTAAAGTTAACAGGCCAGTACAGAGAGACAGGTCCCAAAGAAAGCCGCAAAGGCAAGTACGGAGGGTCTAAAATCAAAAGAGCCTATCAAAATAAGCATTTTAAAAGAAATTGGGAGGCCCCAGTGCAGAAGGGGAAAGCCGTTGAAAGTGAAGCTGTGTGTTGCCAATGAAAACGAAGGAGACAGTAACCTGGTGAGTCTCAGGGAGGGGGGCGGGGGAGAGACACAGTAAGTTTAGAAAGGAGGCAAGGAGACCAAGCCCTGGGAGGAAAGGCTGAGGGACTCGGGAGTGTTTAGTCTGGAGAAGAGGGGGGACAGGATGGCTCTCTTGAAGTCTTCCAAGGGCTGTCACTTAGGGGAGGGCAGGGAGCTGTTCCTGTTGGCGGCAGAGGAGAGGACTTGCAAGAAATGGGTTTAAATTAAGGGCGGGGAGGTCCCGGCTGGATATTAGGGAAGACTTTTTGACAGTAGGAGTTGTGCAGCAGGGGAATCGGCCGCCTCGGGAGGTGGTGAGCTCCCCCTCCCTGGCAGTCTTCAAGCAGCGGCTGGACGAACACCTGTCAGGGATGCTCTAGGCCAGTGATGGCCGGACGCTGCCACCACTCTGGATTTAGGATCCCTTGAGAAGGCCCAGAGCACCCTCCCAAGATCTTCTGACCTCCCTTTTGGCCGAATAATAGGCGTGAGGACCAGGCAGAGTGAACAATGAAAATATTTTATTGTATAAGAGGTCAAGCCAACAAGGTGCAGAAATAATAACAGTAAGTGGGTGAAAAGAAAAGAAATCAAATGCCCTAACGCGTCTAAATATGTACTGTCCCTAGCTCACCACTCCAAGTGGCACTAGAATACTCACCCTTCCCTCAGGATGAGAGTCTATTCCCCTTCTGGCTCTGTCCCCTGGGAAGAAGAACAGCTTTTCCTGCTGCTCCAGATCTTTTATTCCAAGCCTTCCTCTTTTCCTATTGGTCAGTTTTGGATCCAAAACCTCTCAGGGGCTTCTGGGAGTTATAGGCCCAGCCTCACTTACTGCTAGCCAGGCTCCCTGGGCCTAGTAGGCCTCTGGTGGCACAGCCCAGATCATGACAGCGAGCGATTGGGCTACTGCATAAGTCAGTTTTGCTTTGGAGCCATCCTTCCTGAGCTAAGACAAAAATGTGTGAGCCAGAGGCTAAAAAGCAGTGAGCTAGCTCACGCCAACTCAGCTTAGAGGGAACAAGGCTTAAAATGCTCTTGCCTGCGTTGAGCACATTTGCGTAAATGAAATTGCAGCAAGAGAGGGATTCTTTGGGAGAGGGCATCCACGAACTCGCTGGCCCGCTGTACCTAACCCTTCTGTCGTCTCCACTTTCGCAGGCCGGAAGCGGTCCAGAGCCCCAGGCCAATGGAGAAACGCACGTAGCAGTTATAGTCCGGCCAGGTACGATGTCAGACGTTCGGGCTGCTGAAATGGGACGAGGCGACGGCCGGGGGATTCCTCACTCCGCTAATGCCGGGCCGTGGGGCGTTGCAAGAAGAACCATTTCCGGGGGGGGGGGGGATTCTGTTTCTGGTTGCTCCTTGGCCGAAGACTGCCAATAGCCAAGCAATAGCAGGAAAGGGTGGTTTTGGTTTCTGACCACGGTGTTTGGTTCCAGCTGTGCTTCTAGCCCGATTTCGGAAGGTAAACAGGGTCTGCCCAGATTAGTCCTTGAATGGGAGACCATCAAGGTAGTCCAGGGGCGGATGCAGGTACTGGCAAACCACCTGTGTTCATCTCTTCCTTTGAAAACCCTGTGGACCGTGGAAGCTAAGCAGGGTTGGGCCTGGCTGGGACTGGGAAGGGAGACCACCCAGGGCTCTTTCTGTAGCAGGAGCTCCTTTGCATATTAGGCGACACACGCCCCTAATGTAGCCAATCCTCCAGAAGCTTACAGTAGGCCCCTGGAAGAAGAGCTCTGTAAGCTCTTGGAGGATTGGCTACATTAGGGGTGTGTCGCCTAAGATGCAAAGGAGCTCCTGCTACAGAAAGAGCCCTGGATGGATGGATGGATGACTCTTTTTGTAGCAGGAACCCCTTTGCATATTAGGCGACACACGCCCCTAATGTAGCCAATCCTCCAGAAGCTTACAGTAGGCCCCTGGAAGAAGAGCTCTGTAAGCTCTTGGAGGATTGGCTACATTAGGGGTGTGTCGCCTAAGATGCAAAGGAGCTCCTGCTACAGAAAGAGCCCTGGATGGATGGATGGATGACTCTTTTTGTAGCAGGAACCCCTTTGCATATTAGGCGACACACGCCCCTAATGTAGCCAATCCTCCAGAAGCTTACAGTAGGCCCCTGGAAGAAGAGCTCTGTAAGCTCTTGGAGGATTGGCTACATTAGGGGCGTGTGTCGCCTAATATGCAAAGGCGTTCCTGCTACAAAAAGAGCCCTGCGAAGTCCAGGGTTGTCCTCAGCACTAGGCAATCGCAAAACTACCCGTGATCGTCTTTTGTGCCCCAGCCTGGATGGCCCAGGTTACCCTGATCTTTTCAGATCTCGGGAGCTAAACAGGGTTGGCCCTGGTTAGTACTGGGATGGGAGACCTCCAAGGAATACCAGGGTCACGACACAAAGGCAGGCAGTGGCGAACCTCCCCTGCATGTCTCTCGCCTTGAGAACCCCACGAGAGTCACCACAAGTCGGCTGCAGCTCTTTCCGCCACTGAGTGTGGAATCGCCGTTCATTGTGCGTTCGTCTTTTCACCACCTCCCCGTCCCCTGCTCTTGCTCCTCCTTTTCTGTAAAATGAGCTTAAAATGGCGGTCACTTGTGTACGCCACCTGGGGCTCGACCCACGTGTCCGTAGCAAGAGCCATCACAGCCCCGCGGGAAAATACAAACTGGTGTCAGGGCTATTTTTGGGCTGGAACGCACAGGAATGGAGTTCCGGCTGGCTCCCCAGTTGGCCACGCCCAGCAGGAACTCATTACCATACTAGGCCACACCCAACACCAGAAACGCATTAGGATTGGCTACATTAGGGTTGTGTGGCCTAACATGCAAAGGAGTTCCTGCTACAAAAAAAAGGCCCTGGGTTTTGACAACAAACAAGGTAAACAGAATAAGAAGCAAAAGGTGGGATGACCACACTTCTGGTAACATGGGGGTGCAGCCTAATGTGCCAATGAGCTGTGCTGGCAGGGGTGTGGCCTAATATGCTAATTAGTTTCCAGTGTTGGGTGTGGCCTATTATGCTAATGAGTTCCTGCTGGGCTTTTTCTACAAAAAGAGCCCTGAGCAAAACTATTGACGGGCTGAAAGAAACCTGCACTTCGCAGAGGGGTGGAGACGGACTCTTGTTTCCCACCGTCATTGTGGACTGCAGGGTTCAAGGGATTTTTTTGGATATCACTTTATTGGGATTTTTAAGAAATGGTTTTGGAGCACTGAAGAAATTGGTTGTTCCCTGGAGTTCATAAGAACATAAGAGAAGCCATGTTGGATCAGGCCAGTGGCCCATCCAGTCCGACACCCTGTGTCACACAGTGACCAAAACCCAGGTGCCATCAGGAGGTCCAGCAGTGGGGCCAGGACACTAGAAGCCCTCCCACTGTTCCCCCCCACCAAGCACCAAGAATACAAAGCATCACTTGCCCCAGACGGTGTTCCATCTGTAATTGTAGCTGATTGCCACTGATGGACCTTTGCTTCATATGTTTATCCAATCCCCTCATTAGAATATAATGCAAGCCATGTTGGATCAGGCCAATGGCCCATCCAGTCCAACACTCTGTATCACACAGTGGCCAAAACCCAGGTGCCCTCAGGAGGTCAAGAATACAGAGCATTGCTGCCCCAGACAGTGTGTCCCATCTATACATTGTGACTAATGGCCACTGATGGTACTCTGCTCCATATAAGATCACAAGAGAAGCCTTGTTGGAGCAGGCCAATGGCCCATCCTGTTCGGCACTCTGGGTCACACAGCGGCCAACACCCAGGTGCCATCAGGAGATCCACTAGTGGGGCCAGAACTCCAGGAGCCCTCGCACTCTTGCCCCCCAAGCACCAACAATATAGAGCATTGCTGCCCCAGACAGAGTGTCCCATCCATAGCTTGTGGCTAATAGCCACTGATGGACCTCTGTTCTGTATGTTTAGCCAATCCCCTCTTGAAGCTGTTGTTAGCTTTTCTGCTTCAAAGTTAGCTTCTCTGCTTGTTGACCATTCTCAGCTTGTGGAGCCATGCTGACCTGCAGTCGGACAGCTAGGATCGAGTCCAGTAGCACCTTAAGAGACCAAGATTTTCGGGATGTAAGCTTCCAAGAGTGTGACGGATGGACTTCTGCCTTTCAAAAGCTCATTCCCCGAAAATCTCGTTGGTCTCTGAGGGGCTGCAGCACTCACATCTGTTCACTGACAGTTCACAACAGTCACTTAACCTACCCCTGCTGGTCAGTTACAATCTTCTTCTCTTGGTGGCATGTGGTTCTTTGGAAGCACTTGCTTTGCGGGCCTCAATCGTCCCTAGAGATCCGCCGGCAAAGCCACCACTTTTCCCCTGCACCTCCACCCTCAGTGTTCCCTGTCCTTCCTTTTTGCAGACGATCGTCCCAAGACTGGCCCGGTCATAAGCAAACCCATTTCCTCAGAGGCGAGTAAATCGGCTTCCCCGTCTCCCCCGCCGCCCCTCATCGCCGAGGCCGAGACGGCGCTTCCGGCTGCCGTGACGCTGGTGCACGCAGAGATCCCGCATACAGTGGACACTACAGAGGAGCCGCCGGAGGTCCCCGCAGATATCCTCGAGCCCGTCAGTGCCACCACTACAGTGCCAGGGGGCCCCGTGGTGCCCCCGGAGGTCCCTGGCTTTGACGCGGAGCCTCAGGAGGAACCAGCTGCTAGCCCTGTTCCCGAGCTTCCTCCCCAGATAGCCCCGACAGAGATGCCAATGGACGACGAAGAAGAGGCCGTCTCGGCGGAGGTAGGGACTCCCCAACCGGAGGCTCCTCAGCCCGAAGAGGAGCCTCCTGTGACTCTGCCGGACGCTCCCCCGACGCCCCCGCCTTCCCTCGAGGAGGCCTCGGAGGGCCCCACGGAGGCGAACGGCGTGTCGGAAGAGGAGCCGCCAGAGCCCGTGGCCGAGCCCCACCTGTGCCAGCCGGATCCCGCCACGGAGTCCCCCATCGCTCAACCCGAGGAGCTGCAGATGCCCAACGGGCTGGGGACCCCGGGGAAGCAGGAAGGCGAAGAGCCCAAGGAGGAGCAGCCGGAGACGGACGCCAGCCCCATCTCCGAGCCGGAGGAGATGAAAGAGGAGGAGGAGGAGCCGGTTGTGGCGGTGGTCCCGCAGGTCACGCCACCCCCCGAGGAGGAGGAGGAGGAGCCCGAGCCGGAGGAGGCAGAGTGCGAGGAGCCGGCCGAGACGCAAGAGGAGAGCGCCCAGCCGGCAGCCGCGCCCCCGGAGACCGCAGAGGCGACTGTGCAGGGTAAGCGTAGTGGGGTGCCCTGCGAGTCCAGATGGGGCTGCCAACCTCCAGGTGGGGCCTGGGGATCTCCTGGAATTACAGCTGATCTCCAGGCCGCAGAGGTCCCTTTGCCTGGAGGAAATGGCTGCTTCAAAGGGAGGACCGAATGGGAATGATACCCTGCCGAGGTCAGTCCCCTCCCCATATCCTGCCCTCCTTAGCCTGCCCCGGAATCTCCAGGAATTGTCCCGGAGCAGAGTTGTCAACCCTGCGTTTGGAGTGCGGGGCAGTGCTTCACTGCAGAGTGTAGGCACTTGGGTGCATTTTTCTGGAGGAACTCAACAGGAGAAAATTGATGTTTCCCTCTCCAGGCGAGGGAGCGGAGTTAAATTCCAGTTCCCCCCTCTAGCAATCCTTTCTTTCTACATGCCCTTCTCCGGTCTTGCAGTCCCGTTCGATTCAGTCACTCCCCCCTACGATGGGAACTGTACAGCATGTCGGTTTGACATGCTGAGGATTTTGTACCCGTTAAGACAAGATTGGAAGACTCAAAGGGGAGAGAAAGCTGGTGGTGGGGTCGGTATTGTTCCAAGTAGAGCCTCAATAAGTGAGAGCTTTCTCGGTCGCAGCCGCGCTTTGGTGGAACAGGCTCCCAGAAGACGTCAGGGCCCTGCGGGATTTATTTACAATTAGGTGCGGCCCCTCAATCAAATGCTTGGTGGAAAAGCTCTGTCTTGCAGGCCCTGCGGGATTTATTTACAATTCTGCAGGGCCTGCAAGACAGAGCTTTTCCACCAAGCATTTGATTGAGGGGCCGCACCTAATTAGCCACAGCATCGACCGAGGAACCAATGCCTGGTAATGTATCTTTGGCCGGCCTGCCCCTGTCTAGGTGCTTAACATCTACGCCCACATTATATATGGGGCCTGAAGCCAGTCGACATCTAATGTTGGTCAGATTTTCTCTGGTGACAGTTAAGCCGCCATCAAAACTGTAACATTTAATGAATTGCTTTTAGGTTTTATCTTGTCTTATCCTTTTAAACTTGTATGACATTTGTGGTTCTCTAGGCTGCCCCAAGCCTGCTTCGGCAGGGAGGGCGGGATATAAATGAAATGAAGTCAATAAATCAATAAGAATACAATGATAAAATATTTAAAATCAGGACCATATGCGCATAAGGTCCTGATTTTGAAAGATTGTATGACTAGTATTCTTATTGAGGTTCTCTGTTTGGGCTTATAATGGTTTTTAAAAGAATTTGTAAGAAATACATGTATTTTTGTATAATTTGCATTATTTACGTATTGCCGTTTGATGCTTACTGAAATTGATATTGGGCCCCTTGTTTTGTATCCTTTTTTATTCTTAATTCATCTTTTGGGGTCAGGTTTTTTTTCCCCTCCTTGTTTCTTCCGTTGTCAGTATTGTTCCCACACTTCTCCCGTGACAACGTTAATCCAGTTCTCCTGAGACACCTTGAGGGGTGACCGCGTTCAGAAGAAAAAGAAGGGTCACGCCAATTGGAGCAGAGAGACAAAAAAAAAGAAAAAGCCGAACACTGGTGCAGTGGGAAAACTATTTATTCCAATATAATCATAATCCCTGTGCATTTTCACACTGGGCTTCCTCAGGAGGATCTATACAGATGTCCAAAAATAAAAGAGAAAAGTGGACAACGGTCTTTTAACCATTTCTCTAAATTAAGAACATAAGAGAAGCCAATGTTAGATCAGGCCAAGGGCTCATCCAGTCCGACGCTCTGTGTCACACAGTGGCCAAAAATACCAGGTGCCACCAGGAGGTCCACCAGTGGGGCCAGGACACTAGAAGCCCTCCCACTGTTGCCCCCCCCCCAACACCAAGAATACAGAGCATCCCTTGCCCCAGACTGAGAGTTCCTATTTATACCTTGTGGCTAAGAGCTACTGATGGACCTCTGCTCTCTATGTTTATCCATTTCCCTCTTGAAGCTGTCCATGCTTGTAGCCGCAGTGGCCAAAACCCAGTTGCTATTAGGAGGCCCACCAGTGGGGCCAGAACTCCAGAAGCCCTCCCCCTGTTGACCCGCTCAAGCACCAAGAATACAGAGCATCACTGCCCCAGGCAGAGTGCTCCACCTATAACTGGTAGCAAATAGCCGCTGGTGGACCTCTGCTCCAGATGTTTCTCCAGTCCCCTCCTGAAGCCGTCCGTGCTTGTAGCCACCACTACTTTCCATGGGAGTGAACTCCCCATGTTAATTACTTTTCATGTGAAGAAGTGCTTCCTTCTGTCTGTTTTAAGCCAACTGCTCCTTAATTTCATGGAGTCCCTGCAACTTCTTGTCTCGTGAGAAAGGGAGGAAAAGGGCTTCCTTCTCTGCCTTCTCTATTCCAGACATCATTTCGTAGTCCTATCCTGGCTGTCACCTCTCAATCATCGTTCCTTCTCGGTAAAGAGCCCTGACCTCTTTAAACTTCCTTCATAGGGAAGGCGTTCCATTCCCCTTAATCGTTTTATTTAATCAAATTATTTGTTAGAAACACGTGATAGCAATAATACAAACATCACAGCCTACAGTTCAGCGTCTTAACCACTTGAGCCAAATACATAATAAAACATTTTAAAACCATTCATATATCGATGGCGTTGCAGGTATAATAAAGTGCATTTAGGAACACACGTTCAACGGTGCAACCATTCTAGGCCAGCAGTAAAATAGGCACAGGAACAGGACACAGCTAACAAGGTACAGCTCCTTATCTAAATGCCTCCTGGAAGAGCTCCGTTTTCACAGCCCTGCGGAACTGTACAAGGTCCCGCAGGGCCCTGATCTCACCTGAGAGCTCATTCCAATAGGTTGGAGCGGCCACAGAAAACGCCCTGGTCCTGGTTGATACCAGCCTGGCGTCCTTAGGACCTGGGAGGGCCAAGGAATTTTGCGACCCTGATGTTCGAGACCCGAGTTGCCGCACGACGGAGTGAGCTCCCATCTCTGGCCCCAGCTCCTGCCAACCCAGCAGTTCGAAAGCAAGAAATTGCAAGGAGATAAATAGGGACCACTTTGGTGGGAAGGGAACAGCGTTCCGTGCGCCTTGGTGTTTAGTCGTGCCGGCCACATGACCACGGAAACGTCTTCGGACAGCGCTGGCTCTTCGGCTTTGAAACGGAGATGAGCCTAGAGTCGGATTCGACTGGCTTTTGAGCCTTTACCTTGACTATCAAGTTTTATATTGTTTTATTGGTTCTTATGGAAGCCGCCCTGAGCCTCCCTCAGCGGGGAGGGCGAGGTAAAAAAATCAAAGTAATAAATAAACACATATGTTTAAAAAGATGTTTTAAACTCCTGAGCATGCGCCAAAAAAAAAATGACCAAAAGCCATCAAAAACACTGCTAGGTGCTTAGAATAATGTTGTAACAGTTATTGCCGGCATGTGGAACGCAAGTCCTTCCAGAGCTATGACTTTCAAAAATGATTCCTGTAGACTGAATAAACCCCTTTTAACCATAGATCCCTCTGAGGAAGCACAATGCGAAATGTGTAGGGGTTATGATTATCTTGGGATAAAATCAGTTTCCCACGGCATCGTTGTTTTCTATTTGTCTCTTGACTACAGTCGGGCCATGGTCACATCACTCTCCCCCCCCCCATTGGCTGCCCTACGGTGGTGGGGAAGAGCAAAGGATCATGGGATCCCGAGTCCTGTATGTTTTTGAAGGCTCTGGAGCGAGTCCCCCGTTAACTCCCAACATTCTCTAGAGCAAACCAGTGAACGGCCCGCATAAAAGCGGTTTACTCTGGTTAGACTAACTCTTCGCCTTTCTGTCCTTTTTCGGGGGGGCTGTCCAGTAGCGGTGTCCGTGCAAAAGAAGAAGCGGAAGATGAAGGACCTGAACAAGAAAGACAACCTGGGAGACCTGCTGGATGCATTCAAAGAGGTGGGGTCCCGCTTCTGATCTGCTTCTGGAAACCAGAGCCCTTGATCCTTCGGCAGGCTTTGCGGAAGGGCGTTTATTCGTGCATTTACCTCACGCATCTAACCCTAATCCTAGCCAGTTTGGTGTTGTGGTTAAGTGCCTGGACTCTAATCTGGGAGAACCGGGTTTGATTCCCCACTCCTCCCCTCGCAGCTGCTGGATGATCTTGGGCAAGCCAGAGTTCTGTCAGAGCTGTTCTCTTAAGGACAGCTCTGGAAAGAGCTCTCTCAGCCCCACCTACCTCACAGGGTGTCTGTTTTGGGGATGTGAAGGGAAAGGAGATTGTCAGCTGCTCTGAGACTCCTTTGGGTAGTGAAGGGCAGGGTATAAATCCAATATCATCTTCTTCTTCATTTATACCCTGCCTTTTCCTCATTGGGGACCTTAACAGCCAGTTTGGTGTAGTGGTTAGGAGCATGGACTCTAATCTGGAGAACCAGGTTGGATTCCCCATTCCTCCACATGCAGCTGTTGGTGTGACTGGGGGTCGGTCACAAGCACTGTTCCCTCTAAGCTGAGTTAGTGTGAGCTAGCTCACTGTTTTTTAGCCTCCAGCTCGCACATTTTTATCTTAGCTCAAGAAGGATGGCTCCAGAGCAAACTAATTTATGCAGCAGCCAAATTACTTGCTCACGACTTTATTGCCAGTAGCTCACAAAGTAGAATTTTTGCTCACAGGACTTCACAGCTTAGAGGGAACATTGGTCACAAGTTCTCTCAAACTTGTTCTCTCAGAAGCAGTCCTGGAAAGAGCTCTCTCAGCCCCACCTACCTCACAGGGTATTTGTTGTGGGGAGAGGAAGGGGAAGGAGTTTGTCAGCCGCTCTAAGACTCCTTTGGGTAGTGAAGGGCGGGGTATACATCCAGTCTCCTCTTCTCTTTCTTCTAAAGCGGCTTACATTGTTCTGCCCGCCTCCATCTTGTTCTTGAGACAGCCCTGTGAGGTGGGTGAGGCCAAGAGCATGTGACTGACCCATAGTCACCCAGTAAGCTTCCATGACGGGGTAGGGATTTGAACCTGCATTTCCCGGCTTCTGGCTTGGGGATGGGGGTGGCCTCATGGTAGAGCCTCTGCTTGGCTTGCCCACGGTCCCCAGTTCAATCCCTGGCATTGCCAGTTAAAAGGAGCAGGCAGTAGGTGACGTGCGAGACCTCTGCCTGAGACCCTGGAGAGCGGCTGCCAGTCTGAGTAGACAACACTGACCTTGCTAGACCAAGAGTTTGATTCAGCTTCATGTTTGGGTGAGGGGCTGTGGCTCAGTGGCAGAGCGACTGCTTGGCATGCAGAAGGCCCCAGGTTCAATCCCCAGCATCTCCAGTTAAAAAAAAAGATCAGGTAGGAGGTAATGGGAAAGACCTCTGCCTGAGACCTTGGAGAGGTGTAAAGAGAGGCTGTGGCTCAGTGGCAGAGCCTCTGCCTGGCATGCAGGAGGTCACAGGTTCAATCCACGGCATCTCCAGTTAAAAGGGCCAGTCAGGAGGTGATGGGAAAGACCTCCACCTAAGACCCCGGAGAGCTGTCAAGAGGGGCTGTGGCTCAGTGGAAGAGCCTCTGCTTGGCATGCAGAAGGTCCCAGGTTCAATCCCCGGCATCTCCAGTTTAAATGGGCCTGGCAGTAGGTGATGTGAAAGACTTCTGCCTGAGACCCTGGAGAACTTCTGCCAGTCAGAGCAGTCAATACTAACCATGGTGGGGTGATGGTCTGATTAAGATAAGGCAGTTTCATGGCATCATGTGCAATGCTCCCTCTAAGCTGTAGAGTCTTGTGAGCAAAAATCCTACTTTGTGAGCTACCGGCATTAAAGTTGTGAGCGAACAATTTGGCTACTGCATGAATTAGTTTGCTCTGGAGCCCTCCTTCCTGAGCTAAGACAAAAAATGTGTGAGCCGGAGGCTAAAAAACGGTGAGCTAGCTTACACTAACTCATCTTAGAGGGAACACTGATAACCACCAGGCAGCACAGGCTGTGATCACCTTTCTTTGTGCCACGGCCTCCTGCAACGCCACACTCGCTCTGCACGCTTTAAGCAACTTTAATTTTTGTTATTGTTTCCCCTCCGGTAACTTATAATTCTGCAAGGAACAGGATGTTGGTTTTTTCAAGATTATAGCCTATCCCTCCCTTGAAACTTGAGGGCTTTCAGAATCATAAATAATAAAGCATTAATAACAAGCAGAACAATTAAGCAGAACAATTATAATTCAGCCTTTCAGAGTAGCAGCAGAAGCCGTCAGATCTAGGGAGAGTGTTTGACAGTCAGGTTGCATAGGGCAGTAGCCAAGGGGTGGGCCCATAGCTCAGTGGTCAAGCACCTCCTTTGCACGCAGAAGGTCCCAGGTTCAATCTCCAGCTGAAAGATAGCTGGTGACGTGAAAGAGCTGAGTCAGAGTAAACAACACTGACCTTGATAAACCAATCGTCTGAGTCAATAGAAGCAGCATGATGCGTTCATCTGTTCCCCCCCCGCCCCCCCGAGGAAAAATCTGTCTAATATTACTCTGAGCTGATGAACAATCTCATGTGGGAGACGTCTGGTGACCTTTAAAAGGAAAAGATTCACTTGGACTTCTAGCTGGGGCCTGGGGCGGGCAGGTGGTCACATTTGCAAACAGTAAAGAGGTCTTGGTGGATTCTGCATAGAACTTGTCTCCAGTGTCAGAGTGAGAACATAAGATGGATCAGACCAATAGTCCAGCATCCTGCCGCACACCGTGGCCAACCAGTTCCTCTGGAGGGCCAGCAACAGGGCACAGAGGCCGAGGCCTTCCTAAGAACGTCAGAAGAGCCCTGCTGGATCAGATCAGTGGTCCCTCTAGTCGACCATCCTGTCTCACAGAGTGGCCAGCCAGCTCCTCTGGAGGGCCAACAACACCTGGCCAGAGGCAGAGGAGACCCAGCTGAGCTCTGAGCAGGAGCAGGAGCAGGAGACAGAGGGGTGAGTATTTAAGAAAGCTCCTTGACAGAGGCACGAGCCTCTGGCACGAGCCGAAGGGCGAGCTAAAGGGCGCTTTGCCCGTGGCTCTTAGCCCAGGGACTCTTGGACTAGGGGCTCTGTGAGACGCCCAAGAAGAGGCAGAAAGTGAAAACCCTAGGCTCCTTGTTTTCCCCATAAAGTAATTTGACTTTGACAAGAAAAAAACACATAAATACAAAGGGATTTAAAAGGGGGATTACATTTACTTATTTTAAAAGAATTATGAAGCCAGAATGCCAGCAGGGGGTTGGGGGCTATCCAGTGTTTTGCACAGAGTGTCACATGTATGACTATCTGCCCACTGGGCAGAAGTCTTGGGTGTGTGCTCGGTGCAAGGAGCTCCTGGTTCTCAGGGAACGTGTGTGCTCCCTTGAGGCCAAGGTGGCTGACCTGGAGAAGCAGAGACAGTCAGCTAGGCGCACAGAAAAGACTCTCGGGGACTTGTTAGCTACGTCCCACTCTGGATCTGGCAGCCCCGCTGCTGTCAGGGAGCATGAGGGTCTAGGGGAAACAGGGCACCGTGCTGAGGATAAGGGGAATGTGCCCTCAGAAGGGACCTCTTCCCCAGCTGGTGAGCGGTTATCCTTTTGCACCAAGGAACCATCCCTGGGCAGGGTGGGAGGGGGGCTCTTGGTAGTGGGTGATTCGATCCTTAGGCAGGTAGACAGCTGGGTGGCGAACCCGCGTACTGACCGTATGGTGACTTGCCTGCCTGGTGCGAAGGTAGCGGACATTACGCGTGTTTTAGATAGGCTGGTAGATAGTGCTGGGGAGGAGCCAGTGGTCGTGGTGCATGTCGGCACCAACGATGTGGGGAAATGCAGTCGTGAGGTCCTGGAGGAGAAATTTAGGCTGCTGGGCAGGAAACTCAAGGCCAGGACCTCCAAGGTAGCCTTCTCAGAAGTGCTACCTGTTCCACGCGCAGGGCCGGAGAGACAGGCACAGATCAGGAGTCTCAATGCGTGGATGAGACGATGGTGTAGAGGGGAAGGGTTCAGGTTTGTTAGGCACTGGGATTCTTTTTGGAACAAGAGGGAGCTGTACAGGCGAGACGGTCTCCACTTGTCCCGAGAAGGAACCAGGCTGCTGGCGCTTAAAATCAAAAAGGTGGCAGAGCAGCTTTTAAACTGAATATTGGGGGAAAGCCGACAGGAGATGAAAAGTCTCTGGTTCGGGTTGGCTCATCTCAGAGAGATGAGGGGGTACCTGTTGCTTTTCTACAGGGAGGTGGATTGAAATTGTCCACTGAGACCATGGCTAGTGACATGGACTGCCTGACAAGGTCTCGAGATTGCAAGAGGAAGGTGGCAGGCTTAACCAGTATGGGAAATTACAGCTGTTTCTATACAAATGCTCGAAGTGTCCGAGGTAAAATCGGGGAGTTGGAGTGCTTGGTGTCAGAGGGAAAAATAGACATTGTGGGTATTTCAGAAACTTGGTGGGATGAGGAAAATCAGTGGGATACGGTGATTCCCGGTTATATATTATATCGGAAGGATAGGGGGGGAAGGGTTGGAGGTGGGGTGGCTCTGTATGTCAGAGAGGGTATAAAGTCCAGAAAGATCGAGAGGCTAAGAGAATTGGATTCGCTTCTTGAAGTTCTGTGGGTTGAAATAGGGGGGCCAAAAGGAAACTTAACACTGGGAGTTTGTTATCGCCCACCGGATCAAAAGATAGAGGAGGATTATAAAATGATGAATGAATTAAAGATAGCAGCTAGACAAAAACACTGTGTCGTAATAGGTGATTTTAACTACCCACACATTGATTGGGTCAATATGTGTTCTAGTCGAGAGAAAGAGATTGAGTTTCTAGACACTCTAAATGACTGTGCTATGGAGCAGATGGTCATGGAACCTACCAGGGGAGAGGCGATCCTTGATTTGGTCCTAAGTAACACTCAAGACCTGGTGAGAGATGTAAAAGTGATTGCACCGCTTGGGAACAGTGATCATAATGTTGTTGAGTTCAACATTTGTACAAATAGGGAATTGGCCAAAAAGACTCACACAACCACTTTTAACTTTAAAAGGGGTAATTTTTCTGATATGAGGGGACATGTGGGGAGGAAACTGAAGGGAAAAGTAGAAAGGGTCAAAACCATTGGGGAAGCTTGGAAACTGTTTAAAACTACAATTCTAGAAGCTCAAATAAAATATATTCCGCAGGTTAGGAAAGGCACAAACAGGTATAAGAAAAAGCCTACATGGTTAACAAACAAAGTAATGGAAGCTGTAAAAGGTAAAAAGGATTCCTTTAAGCGGTGGAAAGCTAGTCACAGTGAGGCTGATAAAACAGAACACAGGCTATGGCAAATAAAATGCAAGTCTGTGGTCAGGCATGCAAAAAGGGAATATGAGGAGCATATAGCAAAAAATGTAAAGACCAACAATAAAACTTTCTTCAAATACATTAGAAACAGGAAACCAGCCAGGGAGGCAGTGGGGCCCTTGGATGACCAAGGGGTAAAAGGAGTACTGAAGGATGATAGGGAAATGGCTGAGAAGCTAAATGCATTTTTTGCCTCCGTCTTCACTGTGGAAGATGAGAGGTGCTTGCCCACTCCAGAGCCGCTGAGTTCGGGAGGGGTGTTGAAAGACCTGAGTCAGATTGAGGTGACGAGAGAGGAGGTCCTAAAACTGATAAACAACTTAAAAACTGATAAATCACCAGGCCCAGATGGCATACATCCAAGAGTTCTGAAAGAACTCAATTGTGAACTTGTGGATCTCCTGACAAAAATATGTAATCTCTCCTTAAAATCAGCCTCCATTCCTGAGGACTGGAAGGTAGCTAATGTCACTCCCATCTTTAAAAAGGGTTCCAGAGGAGATCCGGGAAATTACAGGCCTGTCAGTCTGACGTCGATACCGGGTAAATTGGTGGAAACCATTATTAAGGAAAGAATTAGTAGGCACATAGATGAACAAAACCTATTGAGGCAGACTCAACATGGGTTCTGTAAGGGAAGATCTTGTCTCACTAACCTGTTAATGTTCTTTGAGGGGGTGAACAAACATGTGGACAAGGGGGATCCAATAGATATTGTTTACCTTGACTTCCAGAAAGCTTTTGATAAAGTTCCTCATCAAAGGCTCCTAAGCAAGCTCAAAAATCATGGGATAAAAGGACAAGTCCTTTTATGGATCAAAAACTGGCTAATTAATAGAAAACAGAGAGTGAGTATAAATGGGCAGTTCTCCCAGTGGAGGGGTGTAAGCAGTGGGGTACCACAGGGATCAGTACTTGGTCCACTGCTTTTTAACTTGTTCATTAATGATTTGGAGTTGGGAGTAAGCAGTGAAGTGGCTAAATTTGCGGATGATACGAAGTTGTTCAGGGTGGTGAAAACCAGTGAGGATTGTGAGGCACTCCAAAGGGATCTGTCAAAGTTGGGCGAGTGGGCGTCAACATGGCAAATGGGGTTCAATGTGGCCAAGTGCAAGGTGATGCACATTGGAGCCAAAAATCCTAACTATAAATACACGTTGATGGGGTCTGAACTGGCAGAGACAGATCAAGAGAGAGATCTTGGAGTTGTAGTAGATAACTCACTGAAAATGTCGAGACAGTGTGTGACTGCAATAAAGAAGGCCAATGCTATGCTGGGGATTATTAGGAAGGGTATTGTAAACAGATCAGCCAATATCATAATGCCGCTATATAAATCAATGGTGCGACCTCATCTGGAATACTGTGTGCAATTCTGGTCACCACACCTTAAAAAGGATATTATAGCTTTGGAAAAAGTGCAGAAAAGAGCAACTCGAATGATAAAAGGGTTGGAACACTTTCCCTATGAGGAACGGTTAAGGCGCTTAGGGCTCTTTAGCTTGGAGAAACGACGACTGAGGGGTGACATGATTGAGGTTTATAAGATTATGCATGGGAAAGAGCAGGTAGAGAAAGAGGTACTTTTCTCCCTTTCTCACAATACAAGAACCCGTGGGCACTCCATGAAATTGCTGAGCGGTCGGGTTAGAACGGATAAAAGGAAGTACTTCTTCACCCAAAGAGTGATTAACACTTGGAATTCACTGCCACAGGAAGTGGTGGCAGCTACAAGCATGGACGGCTTCAAAAGGGAATTAGATAAGCATATGGAGCAGAGGTCCATCAGTGGCTATTAGCCACAAGGTATAGATAGGGACTCTGGGGCAAGTGATGCTCTGTCATCTTGGTGCTTGGGGGAACAGGGCACAGAGGCCGAGGCCTTCCTAAGAACATCAGAAGAGCCCTGCTGGATCAGATCAGTGGTCCCTCTAGTCCAGCATCCTGTCTCACAGAGTGGCCAGCCAGCTCCTCTGGAGGGCCAACAACAGGGCACAGAGGCCGAGACCTCCGTAGGAATATCAGAAGAGCCCTACTGCATCAGACCAACAGTCCTAGTCCAGCATCTTGTCTCACACTGTGGCCAACCAGTTCCTCTGGACAGCCAACAGCAGGGCAGAGAGGCTGAGACCTTCATAAGAACATCAGAGGAGCCCTGCTGGATCAGACCAGTGGTCCATCTAGCCCAGCATCCTGTCTCACACAGTGACCAACCAGTTCCTCTGGAGGCCCAACAGCAGCCTATAGAGGCCGAGTCCTTCCCCTGTTGTTGCCTCCCAGCACTGGTATTCAGAGGTTGACTGCCACTGATCATGGAGGTTCCTTTTAGACACCATGACTAGCAGCCACCGATAGAGCCTCCAATCCCCTTTTAAAGCCATCTACGCCCGTGGCCGTCACTGCATTCTCTGGCAACAAATCGCACATTCCCATCACTCATTGTATAAAGAAGTACTAAAAGTCCCATGATCCTTTGAGGGATGCCCAGGCCCTTGGATCCTTTTGGCGTTCAGAGGTACAGACGCACCTCTGACTTAAGCAACGAATCAGTGGCATCCTGTGGCCATCAGGAGGGGAGAAGGTTTTGCACTTGAGCTTCCAATCCAGAGTGTGTCCTTGGAGTTCAAACGTGACATGCTTCACCATCGAAGCATACACTGGAGAGCCAGTTTGGTGTTGACCGTCAGTTTGATGTAGTGGTTAAGCGCGCGGGCCCTAATCTGGGAGAACCAGGTTTGATTAGCCACCCGTCCACTTGCAGCTGCTGGACGATCTTGGGCAAGCCACAGTTCTGTCAGAGCTGTTCTTGAAAGAGCTCTCTCAGCCCCACCTACCCTCTATGGTGTCTGTTGTGGGGAGGGGAAGGGAAAGGAGTTTGTAAGCCTCTTTGAGGCCTCTTCCCGTATACGCCTCAAAGAGCTTTATGCTCTAGTCATCGACATCTCCTAGTGGTCCCTGGCCCAAAAGACGTCTGTTTAGCCTCAACCAGGGCCAGGGCCTTTTCTGCCCTGGCCCACACCTGGTAGAACATGCTCCCCATCGAGATCAGGGCCCTGCGGGATCTTACTCCGTTCTGCGGGGCCTGAAAGATGGAGCTCGTCCACCAGGCTTTTGGTTGAGGCAGCGGGCGTCCACCTATGGCCTCCCAGAGGTTGCTGTCTCCTACGAGTTTGGTGTAGTGGTTAAGTGCGCGGACTCTAATCTGGGAGAACCGGGTTTGATTCCTCATTCCTCCACTTGAACCTGGCTGGATGACCTTGGGCAAGCCGTAGTTCTCACAAGAGCTGCCCTTGAAAAAGAGCAGTTTCTGTCAAGAGCTCTCTGAGCCCCACTTACCTCACAGGGTGTCTGTTGTGGGCAGGGGAGGGGAAGGGGAAGGAGTCTGTAAGCCGCTCTGAGACTCCTTTGGGTAGTGAAGGGTGGGGTATAAATCCAATCTCTCCTCTTCCTCTTCTTCTTTTTCCTCTTCCTCCTCTTCTTCTTCTCCTTCTCCTTCTTCTCCTCCTCCTTCTTCCTGGCCCACCCAGCTGCCAGCAACCAGCCATACCAGGCGGTATTAATGGGCCAGAATTTGCACCAGCAGCTATAACTACTGCTTTTAAATGTTTGGAATGTAAATGTTTTGTGTTTTAAACCTTATTGTATTATTTGAGATAATGTGACCCGCCCTGAGCCCGCTCACGGGATGGGTGGGACACAAATATGAAAAATAAACCAACCAACCAACAAATAAATAAATAAAGCCGCTCTGAGACTCTTGAGTGAAGGGCGGGGCATAAATCCAATCTCCTTCTCCTTCTTGATGATGTCTTCTTCTCTGCTCGCCCTCCCAGGCCGACGAAGGCAGCTCTGAGGCCGAGAACAACCCACCCCCCGCGCCAGCCCCGGAGCCCGAGGAGCCCGCCCCAGTCCGCTCCCAGGAGGAGGCAGAAGAGACGTGGGAAGAGAAGGAGGACAAGCTGGACCCCGAGAAGGTCAAGCAGGCAGATCAGAAGTACCGCTACAAGGAAGGTGAGTCTGCCGGGGGGGCGGGGTGTGTGTGGCAGGTGTCACGCTTTGCGGCAGCCATCCTCGGGAGCCTTCTGTGATGACATCCGCTTTGAGCCATCGTGTCTGGGCCACTGAGCCGCTGTGATGGAGCTGAGGATCTGAGCAGGCTGGTTTACCCCAATGGCTGTCGTTGCAAGGTGTCGAGGGGTCCCAGACTGAACCCCTGCGGGTCCCCGGGGCCAGTTGTATGCAAGTAACCAGACGGTTGCTGAATTTAAAAAAAAAAGATTCATAAGGTTTATATCAATTTCTATCAGTATAAAAGTTTACTCTATCGCCAGCGTTCTCTATAGCCAGACGGTCGGACCGGAACCAACGGGTTGAAATTAAATCGGGCATTTGGGAAGAACTTCCTGACAGTTCGCGAGCGGTTCCTCAGCGGAACAGGCTTCCTCGGGAGGTGGTGGGCTCTCCTCCTTTGTGGAGGTTTTCAGGCAGAGGCTCGATAGCCATCGGACAGCAATGCTGATTCTGCGAACTGAGGCAGATCACGAGGAGGGAGGGCAGGGGGGGTTGCCTCAGTGCTTAGTTCTCGTGGCCCCTTCCTTACACGCCCAGGGAAATGCCGATCACCACTTTGGGGCCAGGAAGCTGTTTTCTCCAGGCTAGTTTGCCCAGAGATCCTGGAAGGGTTTTTTCACACACACCCCTTTTTTTAATCATCTTCTGGGCATGGAACGGGTCACTGGGGGATGTTTTTGACTTTCCCGCATTGTTTAGGGGTTTGGATGAAATGACCCCGGAGGTCCCTTCCAACTCTGTCCTTCGATGAACACAATACTCTGCACAGGGCTCTTTTTGTAGAAAAAGCCTAACAGGAACTCATTAGCATAATCGACCACACCCAACAGCAGAAACTCATTAGCATATTAGGCCACACCCCTGACGGCACAGCTCATTAGCTCATTAGGCCGCACCCCCATGTTACCAGAAGTGTGGTCATCCAGCCACACCCACCTTTTGCTTCTTATTCTGTTTACCTTGTTTGTTGTCAAAACCCAGGGCTTTTTTTGTAGCAGGAACCCCTTTGCATGTTAGGCCACACACCCCTAATGTAGCCAATCCCTATGAGTTCCTGCTGTTGGGTGTGGCCTATTATGCTAATGAGTACCTGCTGGGCGTGGCCAACTCGGGAACCAGCCGGAACTCCGTTCCTGTGCGTTCCTGCCCAAAAATAGCCCTGATCTCTGCAATCATGCAGCAAGAAAGCAAATAAAACTATCCTAACTAACACTTGTTAGATCTTGCGTTGGAGGGCACAGGCTTTAAATTCTAGAGTCAAAAGCCAAAGCTCAGGCGTTCTCTCCGTTGCTGGCAGTTGCAGTTCAAGCGAGTCACTCTTCTTCAGTGCCTTAGCTCAGTTATAGTTTTTGGGCCCGGCAACATCAGGTGAGGATGACATCCAATCAGGACACATTTTCAGGAGAAGCCTCTAGAGGCTCACCTCATCGCCTCAGGTTCTCCCCCTCCCATCACACAGACTGTAGGTTCTCATGGGAAGCTAATCACCCAACTTCCATCTCTGGCCTTGAAGATAAGAGCTCAGTTGGCCCAGAGGCTCATTAGTAACTCCTGGAGGATGGACCGGGCCCATTACTGGAGCACCGAATCATGTTCAGGGTGCTGGTCTTGACCTTTAAGGCCCTTAGCGGTGAGGGGACCCACATCCTGTCAGGACCAGTGTCTCCTCTAAGCTGAGTTAGTGTGAGCTGGCTCACAGTTTTTTTTAGCCTCCAGCTCACACATTTTTGTCACAGCCAATGCTCCTTCTAAGCTGTGGAGTCTTGTGAGCAAAAATTCTACTTTGTGAGCCACTGGCATTAAAGTTGTGAGCAAGCGATTTGGCTACTGCATCAATTACTTTGCTCTGGAGCCAGTCTTCCTGAGCTGAGACAAAAATGTGGGAGCTGGAAGCTAAAAGACTGTGAGCTGGCTCACACTCACTCAACTTAGAGGGAACGCTGGTCACAGCTCAGGAAGGATGGATCCAGAGCAAACTAATTTATGCGGTAGCCAAATCGCTGGCTCACAACTTTAACGCCAGTAGCTCCCAAGTAGAATTCTTGCTCACAAGACTTCACAGCTTAGAGGGACCATTGGTGGCCACTACAGGCCTAAAGAGGTGATTTTTGCCCGTGCGTCTTATTTAAGAGCCCTACATTAATGTAATTGGCTCGAAGTAGTTGCGTAAGGGGGTAAGTGTTGTGGAGCCAGGAGAACTGTGATAGCTCTTACATAGCAAGGACAGCTACCGTGACAAGTTCACGAGGCATGCCGGGTGCCAAATCGAGCCGATATCTAGCAGTGTACGTCCAATGTGGAAGGCAGGGTTGGAGGGAGAAGTCAAATCCAGGAGATTTAAGAACCTAAGAATATACAAGAAGCCAATGTAGGATCAGGCCAATGGCCCATCCAGCCCAACACTCTGTCACACAGTGGCCAAAAATACCAGGTACCCTCAGGAGGTCCAGCAGTGGGACCAGGACACTAGAAGCCCTTCCACTGTTGCCCATGCCCAAACACCAAGATGACAGAGCATCACTTGCCCCAGACCGAGAATTCCTATCTATACCTTGTAGCTAATAGCCACTGATGGACCTCTGCTCCATATGCTTATCATAAGAACATAGGAGAAGCCAATGTTGGATCAGGCCAAAGGCCCATCCAGTCCAACACTCTGTCACACAGTGGCCCAAAACACCAGGCGCCATCAGGAGGTCCAGCAGTGGGGCCAGGGCACTAGAATGATGCCATCAAAGTGAGGGTCATCCAGGTACTCTGGAGGAGACTATGCTTATGAGCAGGCACGTGCTGTTTGCCTGTCCGGTTAGCGAAGCTGCCCCCTCCACCCCAGTCTCGGGCCTTCCTAGCTGTCTCCTCTTAACGTGCACTGCGACAATAAGGGCCGTACCTTCATTTGGGTGTTCTCCATCTTCCTCCCTTTCACAGAGCAATGGAAGCCCCTGAATCCAGAAGAGAAGAAGAGTTACGACCGGGAGTTCCTGCTGGGCTTCCAGTTCATCTTTGCCAGCATGCAGAAACCCGAGGGCTTGCCCCATATCAGCGACGTGGTGCTAGAGAAGGTCAGTGTTCCATGGCCGGGAGCTGCGCTTGTTAAGAACCTCTCTCGTCTCCCCTCCCCTGGAATGTCAGGACCCCCAGTGTTCCCTCTAAACTGAGCTAGTGTGAGCCAGCTCACTGTTTTTTAGCCTCCGGGTCTCACTTTTTTTTTTAACCCCCGAAGGGGTATTTTTATTGTTTTTCAATAGACTACAAAACTACAAAGGAAAAAAAGGGGGGAAGGGACTACATCTATGGATAAAGGAAAGATACCCACACTAACTAAAAACCCAAGCGTGAGAGATCATAACCCAGTTAAACTAAATGTTAGTATTACATTTGTTCATAAGGCAGTATGCTTGCAGAGTTCTTGCTTTGCACTGCTTCTATGTTAGTAAATTAGTTATCTTGAGAAGACCTTCTGAGCGTCTTCATTTCTTCAAAGAGCAAATTTCAGAGTCCTTCTGCCCTTTGGCTTTCTGTCTCTAAAGTCATACACAGTTTTCGTCGCACCCATAGCCGCTTCAGCTGCAGAGTCCTCGTCCGATCCAGAGGTTGCTGAGTCACTTGACTTGGTTTCTTCCTCCTTAGAGTCTTCCCCCGTTCCCAGCTGGCGTCTCAAGAATTCCTTGGCTTTAAAAATGGAATCAATCTTCTCTCTGTTATCGTTGATTTTAAAGATGACACGGGTCACACATTTTTGTCTCAGCTCAGGAAAGATGGCTCCAGAGCGAACGAATCGATGAGGCAGCCAAATCTCTCATTCCCGGCTTTAATGCCAGTGGCTCACAAAGTAGGATTTTTGCTCACCAGGCTCCACAGCTTAGAGGGAGCCTTGGTCAGGACCTAAGGATGAATTGTAGACACGATCTGCGAGTGTTCTGTGTGTATACGTACAGGTACACGAGCCACGTTCACACATTGCAGCAAATGATTAACCAACGTGCACGTACATGCACACAGAACAGAGTTTGGGTCCAATGGCACCTTTAAGACCAACAAAGTTCAAGTCTGGGTAGAAGCGTTTGTGTGCCTGCACACTTCTTCAGATACAGTGAAGTGCATTCAGATTCATTCAGTGTATTTGAAGAAGTGCGCATGCACACAAAAGCTTATACCCAGAATTAAAATTTGTTGGTCTTAAAGTTGCCCCTGGCTGGACCTGAAGACATCTGAAGAAGTGTGCATGCATACAAAAGCTTATTCCGAGAATTAAACTTCGTTGGCCTTAAAAGTACCACTGGACTCCAACTTTGTCCTGTAGCTTGAGACCAACACGGCTACCCACTTGAATCTGTGTACATGCACATACTTCTTAATAAGAAAGAACCTTATTAATTAAGGATTCTTATTAATAAGAAAGAACACGAGTGAAACCTGGATTGATGTGGGGTTTCGATCACCCTTTCAGCTGTATGCGTTTTGAAGGTAACGTGTGAATTCATCAGTACGTGTATAAAGAACAGTCAGACGTACATTGTACGTGGGTTGTATGTGCTTTCGCTGTAAGATGTGGATAGGCCTAGCATAAATCCCAAAGGGAGAAGAAGGGAGCTGGCCGTCTGTTTAGGGTCTTCGCTGCAGAGGTCACGCTCCGTCTAGCCCTGCCCTTCAGAAAGTAGGCAAGCGGTAGCCCCGGGAAGTGACGCCTGGCACTGTGGAATACCCTCTGCGAAGGCTCTTGCCTCGCGCCTCCCTTGTCTTTTGTGGGTCAGGTCAGGAAGATCTTAATAATTACAAGGTTTTAAATGCTTGAGGTTAGATCCGGCACGAGATTTCAGTTGGGGGAGGGGTTGCTGATTCCCCCCCCCTTCCCTTCAGACCTCTGACACGCCCCTCATGCCGTTCCCGGGAAAGAGAGTGCCTCAAGTCGGCACCGGAATGTAGTAAAGTTTCTTGCAGTGTCAACTTGCTACTGATCTTGGTGTAGTGGTCAAGTGCGCGGACTCTAATCTGGGAGAACCGGGTTTGATTCCCCACTGCTCCACTTGGAGCTGCTGATGTGACCTTGGGTCAGTCACAAGCTCTGGCACAGCTGTCCTTGAAAAAGGGCAGTTTCTGTCAAGAGCTCCCTCAGCCCCACCCACCTCACAGGGTGTCTGTTGTGGGGAGGGGAAGGGAAAGGAGTTTTTGTAAGCCGCTCTGAGACTCCGAGTGAAGGGCGGGGTATAAATCCAATCTCTTCTTCTTCTTCTTCTTCCTTTTGAGGAGTTACTGCAAGATGAACAGGTTCCCCTGACGAAGCCCATTGGCGAAATGGATAGGGGGGGGTTGGGGGGGGGGTTGGAAATTTTAACTATGCAGTGAAATATATTTAAATATGAGAAAAGGAAAAGAACACTCTGTGATGAAGAGAGAGTGTTCCCGCCCTGACCTGGATAGCCCAGGTAAGCCCGATCGCGTCAGATCTCGGCGGCTAAGCAGGGCCGACCCTGGCAAACACTTGGATGGGAGACCTCCAAGGAATACCAGAGGCGGGAAGGCAGGCTTTTTATTCAGCCACCTCTCTAAATATCCTCCAGACCCCCAGTAGGGGTCAGTTACCAGAGGTTGCCATGACTTCCAGGTGTGCACACACACACACACGTGCCCATATTTTAAAAAGAGAGAGAGAGAGAATGTGTTTCCCGGATTGTCACAGTGCAAAACTTGATCCACAAGGTAGCAGTGCTTATATTACAGGTAGAATCTTAAGTTAACAAGGTTAACCGTCGAACGCAGCTTTTATGAAAAGCCAGACAGTAGCCATCTACTAGGAAGTTAAAAATATATCCGCTTGAGCGAAGTGACATCACGAAGAAACACCAGCATCTGGCGAGGGAAAAGAGGATGTAGGGCTGAACTGGGCGAATGGGTCACAGGCAAAGTAAAGTCTGGGGGACTGTTTTGAAGCCAGTTTGGTGTCGTGGTTAAATGCGCGGACTCTAATCTGGGAGAACCGGGTTTGATTCCCCACTCCTCCACTTGCAGCTGCCGGATGACCTTGGGCAAGCCGTAGTTCTGATAAGAGCTGTCCTTGGAAAAGAGCAGTTTCTGTCAAGAGCTCTCAGCCCCACCTACCTCACAAGATGTCTGTTGTGGGGAGGGGAAGGGAAAGGAGTTTGTAAGCCTCTCTGAGACTCCTTTGGGTAGTGAAGGGCGGGGCATAAATCCAATCTCTTCTCTTCTTGAAGAACTGGGACTGCACAGCCCCAGTTCATAGGACCAAGAAAATCTTAAATACTTACGAGGATTAACCATATGTTTGAACCAGGTGGTCAGCCGTGTTGGTCTGAAGCAGTAGAACAGATTTAGAGTCCAGCGGCATCTCTAAGACCAACCAAGGTTTATTCAAGGTATGAACTTCCGTGTGCAAAGTGTGCCTTGCACGCGAGAGCTCGTACCTTGAATAAAACTTAGTTGGTCTTAAAGGTGCCGCCGGAATCTAGATTTGTTCATATGTTTGAATGTACGTCTGCTGGGCAGTGATATTCCACAAAAGCAGGTCTCTTTCTGTAGCAGGAACTCCTCTGCATATTAGGCCACACACCCCTGATGTAGCCAATCCTCCAAGAGCTTACAGTAGCCCCTGTAAGAAGAGCTCTGCAAGCTCTTGGAGGATTGGCTACATTAGGGGTGTGTGGCCTAATATGCAAAGGAGCTCCCGCTACAAAAAGAGCCCTGCACGAAAGCCAAAACCTGTGTCATACCAGACATCTGTGCATGTCTGAGGATTGCCCACAGCAGTGTATAAAAACTGAATGCGTAGACACCAGCTCCAGACTTCTGGCGACTTGGCTACCTGGAGTCGCCTTTTATTGCAATAAAAGTTCTGTCCGCTTATTGAAGCTCACTGGTTGTGTCCTTTGTTGGGCGGCGGCACACTGGGTAACGAGCCCATTTGGATAACAAGCTGAAAAGAAAGGAAGAGAGGTCTGGGAGCTGTTTGAGAAAGGGGGAGTCGAGAGAGTCCCGTTCCCCTGACGGGATGTTCTGTCAGTGCAGTTGACCGCCGCGTCCAGCCCTCAGTCTCTTTGACCCGGCAGCAGCGCGCCCTCTAAGCTGCGGGGTCTTGTGAGAAAAAATTCCATTTTGTGAGCGACCAGCATTAAAGTTGTGAGGGAGCCATCTGGCCACCGCATCAGTTAGTTTGCTCTGGAGCCCATCCTTCCTGAGCTGAGACAAAAAGGTGTGAGCCGGAGGCTAAAAAATTGCAAGCTAGTTCACACTGACTCAGCTTAGAGATGTAAAATTTCCAGAAATTTTGAAGCTCCCAGTTTTTTTCGGGGGGAAACGGAAATTTTCGGAAAAATTGAAAAAAATGCTACATTAGCACTTTTGTCTTTTCTAGATTGAAAGTCATTCTGTTACTTTAGGAACATAAGATATGACTATGGACATTTTTACTTGGCATGAAATTATCACAACTAGCATATTAAAAATATAGTGTATCCAAACAGTTATTACAAACAGAATACCCGCCCACATGCAAAAACAAAACTGAAACCTTTTTCTTTTCTCGTGACCATAGCACCTCCTAAAGGAAGAAATGCATCTTGTTCTTGCATTGGAGAGTTCAGTTTGTAACCTAGGACTTGCTTGTCCTCAGTGCACAGAAATTAGATCAATCTGATACCATATATATATATTTTAGAAATGATTTGGAAAATATTTGAACATCTTGTCTTAAAATATTTTATTCATCATGTTAAAATAAAACGTTCCATAATCAATTTTTTTTCTTTTCTCAATTTTTCCAATTTTTCGGAGAAAAAAGCAAAAAAGGCTTCAGGAAAAAAACAGAAAAAAACCGTTTTTTCCCCGAATTTTTCCGGTTTTTTTCCGGGCCTTCACATCTCTAACTCAGCTTAGAGGGAACACTGCCTGGCGGTACTTTTTAACCTGCTTCATTGTTGTCGTGATAGATTTTTACAGATTTATTGTATTTTTACAATCGCCGCTAGTTGGCTCGAAAGCTCTTAAGCCGGGTCCAAGCGAAATGTTTAAGTAGCAATACGAAGTGTCGCTTTTTGCAAGAGACACGGGCCAAGAGGCAAATTGCCCCTCCGAGAAGGGGCTGCCCTGTTCTGGTCTCTCAAACCCCCACGTGTTTTCTCTGTATATCCTCTTGGTCCCCCTGAGAGCCAGTTTGGTGTAGTGGTTAAGTGTGTGAACTCTAATCTGGGAGAACCGGGTTTGAGTCCCCACTCCTCCACTTGCACCTGCTGATGTGACCTTGGGTCTGTCACAAGCTCTGGCACAGCTGTCCTTGAAAAAGAGCAGTTTGTGTCAGAGTTCTCTCAGCCCCGCCTACCTCACAGGGTGTCTGTTGTGGGGAGGGGAAGGGAAAGGAGTTTGTAAACCGCTCTGAGACTCCAAGTGAAGGGCGGGGTATAAATCCAATCTCTTCTCTTCTTCTTCCTCTTCTTCCCTTCCCCGTGGTACATTAGGCAAACAAAATGCCCCTGCGGCCCCTGGACACCGTGCGCCTCAGCAACATGAACTGCGGGCCTGACTTCACGCCTTCCTTCGCCAATCTGGGCCGGCCAGCCCCACCCAACCGTGGTCCGGTACGTACCGCACAGCCTGCTGACGGGGAGCGGGAGGGATTTTCCCGCCCAGTTTAGCCTGCGTGATGAACTCCTAGTTAGTGCCATCGTGTCTGGGCCACTGATGTTCTGTGATGGAACTGAGGATCTGAGCAGGCCGGGTCAGCTTCTTGCAGGCTTCCCTAATGGTCGGATCGGGGCGTTCCGGGAGGAGGCAGGCGGCTAGCCCCAGGGCTTTTGAGCCTCGTGCTGGGGTCCAGTGCTTGCAATGTGGCCAAACGGACATGTCAACAATCACTTCTCTCCTTCCCCACTGGGCCGTGCAGCCGCCGGGTCCAGGGCAACGCCGTTCCCAGCAAAACCTGCGCGTGAAGGAGCCGCGGAAGATCATCGCCACGTCCCTGAACGAAGATGTCAAGCTGAACAAGGCCGAGAAGGCTTGGAAGCCCAGCAGCAAGAGGGCGACGGAGGCAGAGGACCCCGAAAATATCAAAACGCAGGTAGGAAGGTGTCATGACTCAAGTGGGGTGTCACCTGACGCTGCTACCACTCTGGATTTAGGTTCCCTTGAGAAGGCCCAGAGTACCCTCCCAAGACCTTCAGACCTCCCCTTTGGCCAAATAATCGGCGTGAGGACCAGGCAGAGTACAAGAAGGAAAATGGTTTATTTTATAGGAGGTCAAAAAACAAGGTGCAGAAATATAACAGTAAGTGGGTGAAAAGAAATCAAATGCCCTAACGCGTCTATATGTACACTGTCCCTAGCTCACTATCTCAAGTGACCTTACACTACTCACCCTGCCCTCAGGATGAGGGGTCTCTCCTTTGCAGCAGCCTTCCTTCCGGCTCTGCCCTCTGGAATAAAGAACAGCTCTTCCTGCTGCTCCAGATCTTTTATGCCAACCCCTCCTCTTTTTTCATATTAGTCCATTTTGGCTCCAAAACCTCCCAGGGGCTTCTGGGAGTTGTAGGCCTCACCTACTGCTAGCCAGGGTCTCTGGGCCTAGTAGGCCTCTGACGGCACAGCCCAGATCATGACAGAAGGGGTCTCCAGGAGACGGCGTCAGCCGTCATCCCCAGCTAGGTGGTGGGTCCAGGGGGTGTTACCGGGGAACTGGCTTCGGCCAACATGGCTACAGTTTGGTGCAGTGGTTAAGGGCGCAGGCTCTAATCTGGGAGAACTGGGTTTGATTCCCCTCTCCGCTTGCACCTGCTGGATGACCTTGGGCGAGCCACAGTTCTGTCAGAGCTACAGTAAACGCCTCCAGCCAAACGAAGCCTTGGCCCAAGGTGATATTAAAAGCTGAAGGGTCACGGGCGATGGGGGTTGGGGAATCTTTGAAAACGCTTCGCGTTTGGTGTTTTGCTTCTGACGGAGCGTTGTTCACAAATGTTATTGTGGCAGAAGACGTTTGCCGGGGTTACTTTTTCCCCACCATAGAGAACAATGAAGGAGATAGGGGCAACCTGTTTGGGGGCCCGTAGAATTGGACCCCTGGTCCAATGTTCTTCAAACGTGGTTGGTATCTTGGGGAGAGGCTCCAGCAGCTACCCTGTGAGTTTGGAGCCTCTCCCTCAAACCCCCTCCCCTCCAGCCCCCAGAATATACCCTATGTGTTCGCCATTGACTTCAATGACCCATAAGATATAATGGGGCCGAATTGCCACCGAAATTCGGCGGCAAGCCGATTCAGATCAGAGAATCTGAATTGGCCTGCAGCAGCCTGAAAGGGGTCCGAATGGCTTCGAACCGAATGCACATCCCTAGGGACGGTTTGGGCCCGTCAGAGGCCCTCTGGCTGATGGGCTCCATGTCTCTCTTTCCCCTCCCCAGGAGCTGTTTCGCCGCGTGCGCAGCATCCTGAACAAGCTGACGCCGCAGATGTTCCAGCAGCTGATGAAGCAGGTCACCGAGCTGTCCATCGATACGGAGGAGCGCCTCAAGGGCGTCATCGACCTCATCTTCGAGAAGGCCATCTCTGAGCCAAACTTCTCCGTTGCCTATGCCAACATGTGCCGTTGCCTTATGGGGGTGAGTGTGCGCCATTGTGAGCCCCCGATCTCCTCCTTCTCGCCATCTTTAGGGACTACCTAGGACCTTGGGAAGAGGTTACAGAAGCATCACTAGCTTTGAGGCCGTAGGTCAGTTGCCAAATGCTGCTACTGCAGAGTCTGATTTTATCCCTCCCAGGGGGGAAGAATTGCTGAAACAAATGCTTGGGAGATGAAGAGGCTCCTCGTCTGTTCCAAAGGGACCCATTAACCTTTAAACCACAGGGCTGTGTTGAGAGGACTGTTCTATAACCATCTCGGCAGGTTGGAAAATAGTAAAAAGCCGAGCTGCACCTTTAAATCTAACTGTATTGTAGAACAAGCTTTCGAGAAACATAGCTCTCTTCGTCAGATGCAGTCAGAGGCATCAGACGAAGAGAGTTGTGTTTCTCGAAAGCTTGTGCTGTTTGTTAGTCTTAAAGGTCCTACTGGGCTTTTTACTATTTTCCAGCCACAGATTAGCACGGCTAACTCCTCTGTATCAACAGGTTGGCTGACCGAAGAGGCCCTGGAAGTTTGTTTATTCCATGCGTCAAGGGAAAACCAGAGATCGCTCATTATCTTTTAAAAATTCTTTATTTAAGACTAATCCCCCTTTGAAAGAATCAAATATTTTTTAAAAATCACAGTGATGCAAAAAGACTTGCATGCGTCAATGAACTCAGGAGCAGAAAAACAAACTGTATCTCTTATCATGTCTGGTTTAAATTTTAAGAGATAAAATACAGTTTCTGAGATAGTCTCTGAGGTGCTTTCAAAAACGGATAGAGGTATGATGCAGCCTTGTTTTGGAATACGGTGTGCAGTTCTGGTCGCCGTATCTCAGAAGGGTCATCGCAGAGCTGGAAAAATTACCGAAGAGGGCAGCTAAGATAATTACGGGGTCGGAGCATCTTTCCTATGAGGAAAGGCCAAAGAGTCTGGGACTTTTCAGTTTAGAAAAGAGATGACTAAGAGGGGACGTGATAGAGGTTTATGAAATTATGCATGGGGTGGAGATAGTTGACCAAGGGAAATTCTTCTCCCTCTCCTCAAATACTAGAACTTGAGGACATCCAGTGAAGCGGATGGGCAGTAGGTTCAGGATGGACAAAAGTAAATACGAGTTTACACAGAGAGTGATTAAAAGGTGGAATTCACTGCCAGAGGATGTCGTGAGGGCCACAGGAATAAACAGCTTGAAAAGGGGATGAAATAGACTCATGGAGGATAAGTCTATCAGTGGCTACTAATCCTCTGAATCCCAGAGCCAGGAGGCAACATCGGGAAAACCTCGGCCTGTATGCCCTGTTGTTGGCCCTCCAGAAGAACTAGTTTGGGTGGCCAACCACCTCCGAGCGTCTCTTGCCTTGAAAATTCCACAGGGTCACCAAAAGTCAGCCGTGACTTGGTGGCAAGAAAGAAATTTATTATCAATGATGTGAGTAGTAATAGTGGACTGTAGGAACACATATAAAGAACATGATTAAAACAGTGATTTGCAGCAGCGAGTAGTAAGCCAGAAGAAGACTCTGAATCAGAATTAGGGGCCAAATGTGAAGGGAGCACTCACTGGAGAAGACCCTGACGCTTGGAAAGATTGAAGGTCAAAGAAGACGGGGACGGCAAAGGATGAGGTGGTTAGACAGTGTCATAGATGCAACGAACATGAAGTTGAGCAAACTTCAGAGGACGGCGGAAGACAGGAAGGCCTGGCGGGATCTGGTCCATGGGGTCGCGAAGAGTCGGACTCGACTGTGCGACTGAACAACAACAACAAAAAGCCCCAAAAGCCCTGAAAGTCAAATGGAAATATGAAAAGAAGAAAGATAAAGGGAAGAAACTGATTTAGTAGAATTGTATAAGCCTAACAGTCTTATTGTTTGTATTTACTCGATTCAATTTTATATTTACCAGTCTGTAATAGAAGCAGTAGAAACTAGCTATATTCCAAAAACTATTTGTTTATAGAGAGAGCTTTAGCTAAATATGCATTTAATCATTATATATGATCCTTGTATAGCTTATCTTAGGGTAGTGTTAGTGATGTAGTGTTTTTGTAGTGTTGTAGTCAGAAAATAATAATAATAAAAAAACGCACACAGTGATTTGCCAAAAAAAGATGAACAAGTAACAGCAATAACAGCTGGGAGTTCCATAGACATAATTCAGATCTACATCTGTGTCTCTGGGGCTTCGGGAGGGTTATTTAAACCCCTGCGGATCATTGCTCTGGAACCCTTAGCCTTCCCTCTCACTCGAGAACAGTTTGTAATTTTAGCTTTGTTGTCAATCTGTTAGCTATTGTATTTTGGAGACTGTAGGGATGTTGAGCTTGGGGGCTTGTCTTTCTCTTTTTATATAGAACTTAAAAGCCTATAAGCCACATAGGCACAATTAGATCAGTGAAGATTTCTGTGATAACATCATACAGAATTTGAGTTACCAGCAGAATGTTTCAGAGAGTAGCCGGGTTGGTCTGAAGCGGAAGAGCTCGATTTCGAATATGGTCGTACCTTAGAGACGAACAAGATTTTCAGGGCATGAGCTCGCAAGAGCCAAAGTCCCGTTTGTCAGTGGAATGTTTAGGGTACATAAAAGCGCCGCTACTGAAATCAGGACAGAACTGTATTTCAGAGTTCTTTTATGCAGGTGTGGGTTTAAATCTGGGAGCGCAACTTGCGTATGAGTATCTGGACTTTTTTCCCTCCTTGGGGAGAGAGGTGGTTGGAGTTTGTTTGTCTGCACGCACACATGATTAGGAAGAACTTCCTAATAGGCAGAGTGGTTCCCCAGTGGGACAGGCTTCCCTGGGAGGTGGTGGGCTCTCCTCCTTTGGAGGTTTTCAGACAGAGGCTAGATGGCCATAGGACAGCCATGCTGATTCTGTCAACTTAGGCAGATCATGAGCAGGAGGGCAGGAAGGGCTGCCTCAGTTTCCGTGGCCCTTTCTTACACGCCCAGGGAAATGCTGATCGCCACTTTGGGGTCAGGAAGCCATTTTTCTCTAGGCAAGTTTGGCCAGAGATCCTGGAGGTTTTTTGTCATCTTCTGGGCATGGAACAATGGGGGTGTTGGGGTGTTTTTGTGTGAATTTCCTGCCTTGTGCAGGGGGTTGGACTAGATGGACTAGATGACCCTGGAGGTCCCTTCCAACTCTATGATTCTATGATTTTGAGTAAACGACAGAGAAGAATAGGGCTCATGCCCCTTGTTCGGTCATTCCTTTGCTCAGTTTTAAGCCACCCTCCCCTTCCTTTGCGTGGTCAAATAAAGCCTTCTGAGAAAGGAATTGTGGGACCACAGGCACTGTTCCACCCCGGTGTACCCTGGCCCTAGCCATTCCTTCTTGCAATACAGGATTTCTACGCCTTTTGGCAGGAGGGCAGCCCTTTTGGCTCCTAGGTTGAAGCACAGATGAGTATTGCTCCGTTGGGAAGACATTATCGGCAAGCCAAGCATTGGGAGCGGCCGGTCAGTGGGGATGCTCCCTCTCTCATGGCGACTCGTCTCTCTCCACAGCTGAAAGTCCCCACAACCGACAAACCGACCGTGATGGTCAACTTCCGCAAGGTACTTCTGAACCGGTGCCAGAAAGAGTTTGAGAAGGACAAGGACGACGACGAGATTTTCGAGAAGAAGCAGAAGGAGATGGACGACACAGCTGGGGTGAGTGGCGTTTGATTCCCGGGAAGGTGGGATCCTTTAGGGCTTAGGTTCCTTAGCCAAGGAACTGAGTTTGGGAAGACTGGGAAGATCCAGGTGTGTTGCACTTCTTCTCTTAGCTTTTCATCCCGCGGATGGGCCTTTATTTCTGATAAAGGCACATTCCCCCTTGTGACTGTGAAGTGAACCTTGGCTGTAGGTCAAGGGTAAAGGTCTCTCCTTAAACCTCTGTCTGATAGAAACAGCAGTCAAGATGGGTAAACATGGAACACTTTCTTTTAATTTAAAGATTTTTATTGGTTTTAGACAAAAGGTTAACAGTAAAATCGAGAACAGTGTAAAATTATGCTGAAATACACACATCTTAACATATGAAAAATTTGCATATTTTCAAGTAATTATGTTCAGAACTGCTTCTTTTTAGAGCTTTGGACAACTTAACATTGTAACAAACCTCAGAACTTGTTGTTGTCCGGTATCTAAGATATATAAAATAATAATAATAATGATAAAAGTATAATATTAAAACATATATACAGTGAAGTAGCTAAACAAGGAAAATACATAATAATAATAACGGTGCAACATACATTTGAAAAACATACTACAGGAATTAAGGATAATGTTACCATATTTGTGTACAGAAGATATGTATTCATGAGCCTTCGGTTCAATAGGGAAAAAAAAACCTTGTTAAATCCACTTATAGAACTCTTATGATTTCCGTGAACCAGATGAACCCAGGTGTGGATGCTCAGTAGTGAAATCTTGACCCTGGTTGTCTGTTGTTGTTTTTTTGCGAGAAATAGACTTATGCACATTAGAGGTTAGCCAACTTGGGGCCGAGAGGAAACGCAGGGTATAAATATTTTAACAAATAATCTCGTATTGTCGTAGACACTTCAGTCTTCAGACGCAGGATTTCCCTGGGCTTGAAAAGAAATCTCAGAAGGGTAGTCCGTTGCCAGAGGTGCCATGGTGCTGTGTTAGTCAATGTCCCAGTCCAGCGTCTGGGAGACCTGGGTTCAAATTCCTGCTCAGCTGTGAAGCTCACTGGGTGACCGTGGGCCCTTTCATAGTCTTCACAGTTTGACCCACTTTGCAGGGTGATTTGTGAGGATGAAATGGGGAAAGGAACAAACTAAGTTAGGACGTCGATCCTCAGCGCAGCGTGGTCTCCTGACTAAGGTTGCCAGTTCGGATCATTGCGCCAGCGGTGGAGGGGGAGAGAGTTCCTGGGAGTGGGGAGGAGCATTGTGAGATGCCCGCGCAAACAGGAAGTGATGTAGGCACGTCAGGAATATCAGGAGTGGCGCTCTGGTTCTTCGGCACAACATTATGGTAGAATTCTCTTCATAGAGTTTCGCCCAAAAACCAGTGTCCCCCCGACGTCCCCACGTCACTTCCGATTTACACAGGCATGTCGCAATGGTTTCTGGCTTCCTGCCAGTAAGAGGGGGTGATGGGGGCAGGAGAGGAGCACCTGAAATCAGGGGACCCCCGCCCACACCAGGGGGTCTGGCAACTGTAGTCCTGACTGGCAATCGCTCTCCAAGGCCTTAGCTGCGGTCTTGACCTCCCAGGTTCCCACTGGAGTAGGAGCGCCCTTGCCCCAGCAGGCCTTGCCTTCCTGTTGCTTCTCAGCTGGGTGGCGGGGGAAAAGGGGGAAATGGGAGATGGCGATGCCACCATCCCAACACACTGACATTACTCTATGGTGGTTAGACCATAGAGTTTTGCTCAAATGCTAGAATGATGCGCTGACATCATTTCCTGTTGCATGGGAAGTAACATCATTATTTTGCTGGTGAGGGCCTTCTCACCAGTTGCCAGAGGTCTGGTGTTGTTGGTGGGGTTTTTTTTTTGGGGGGGGAGATGCAGCCAACTCAACCACTGCACCCGTGTGGCCCCCTCCTTAATAATCACGGGATGTGGGGTTAGTTCAAAATATATATTTTTAAAATTGATTCTGACGGCTGATTTTGCTGTTCCATCTGCAGCCAGAAGAGAGAGCTCGCCTGAAGGAGGAGCTGGACGACGCCCGGGACAAGGCCCGGCGGCGTTCTCTGGGCAACATCAAGTTCATCGGGGAGCTCTTCAAGCTGAAGATGCTGACGGAGGCCATCATGCACGACTGCGTGGTGAAGCTGCTCAAGAACCACGACGAGGAGTCGCTCGAGTGCTTGTGCCGGCTCCTCACCACCATTGGCAAGGACCTGGACTTCGAAAAGGCCAAGGTGCTTCAGCGCCGGCCGAGTTGGGAGAGGGAAAGGTCTCCCCCCTGGGGCTCAAGCAGGCAGCCCATCTCCTCACAGAGAAGCCAGAAATAGGCCGCTGTTTGGGGGGGGGGGGTTTGCGCTCAGTGCAGCTGCGTGTCCCAGCACGCACTGCTCTCTTGTGGCTCATAATCGGCTTGAGGACAGCCAACAGGGCCCACTGGGGGCTGGCTTCTCGTCTCCTCAGTGGCTCCATCTCCCAGCATGCATTGCTCTCGTGTTCAACAATTGGCTTGAAGAGCAGCCAATCAGGGCCTGTTTGGCCTGGTTTCTCGTCTCCCTGCACTGAGAGTCCGTCCTTCTAGGCCTTTCCTCAGTACTGCCGGTAGAGTTGGGATCATCTGCATCCGCTGGTCCCCCTTTTCTCAGCTTTCTTCCCCATCCCCTGTGCCAGCTAGGGATGTTAAAATATGTAGCGCTGCTGCTTATGGGACCGGCTTCTCTTCCGGTTTGTGTGAGAGCGCCAGCTTGGTATGATGGCTGAAAGTGATCAGGCTGGGATCTGGGAAACCCGGGTTTGGATCTTTGTTCTGCCGTGGAAATTTGCTAGGTGGCTGTACGCCAGTCACACACTCCTCAGCCTGACCTACCTCGCAGGGTTGTCGTGAGGATAAAATAGAGGAGGAGAGAACAGTATAATCCACGTTTGGGTCCTCACGGGGGAGAAGGGTGAGATTTAAGTGAAATGAATAATCAGCAGTGCTGCACCATCCGCTCTTAGCTGGGCATGCAGACGGCGGCAGAAGCCCAGTGGTCAACCCAAGGGGTTTTCGGCACGTGTTATTTTGTCAGTCGTTTTTTAAATTTTCTGCAGTGCTTTGCTCCCTCTAGTGGTTGCTTTGATATTTCATTGCCGTATCTCCGGTTTATTTCCGAGCATTTTCGAAACGGCTCGGAAACAAACCGGAGATACAGCGATGAAATATCGAAGCAACCACTAGAGCAGTGGCTCTCAACCTTCCTGATGCCGCGACCCTTTAATACAGTTCCTCATGTTGTGGTGACCCCCCAACCATAAAATTATTTTTGTTGTTATCATAAGACCATCAAAAATTTGTGTTTTCCGATGGTCTTAGGCGACCCCTGTGAAAGGGTCGTTCGACCCCCAAAGGGGTCGCGACCCACAGGTTGAGAACCACTGCACTAGAGGGAGCAAAACGTGTGCGGAAAGGGGGGGGGGACCTCCAGGGCTATTTTTGGGCAGGAACGCACAGGAACGGAGTTCCGGCTGGCTCCCAAGTTGGCCACACCCAGCAGGAACTCATTAGCATAACAGGCCACACCCAGCAGTAGAAACTCATTAGGATTGGCTACATTAGGGGTGTGTGGCCTAACATGCAAAGGAGTTCCTGCAACAAAAAAAGCCCTGGGTTTTGACAACAAGGTAAACAGAATAAGAAGCAAAAGGTGGGTGTGGCTGGAGGACCACACTTCTGGTAACATATGGGAGTGCGGCCTAATATGCTAATGAGCGGTGCAATCAGAGGTGTGGCCTAATATGCTAATGAGTTTCTGCTGCTGGGTGTGGGCTATTATACTAATGAGTTCCTGCTGGACTTTTTCCTTAAAAAAGAGCCCTGGAACCCCGATACTGTACGGGCGCACAAGGGAAAGAAGATGTGCAGAAAAACCCTTAGAGGAGCTCCTCCCTTAGTTACGGGGCAGCTTCCTGTTCCCCGATTGTAGGGGCGCCTGGAACTTGTGAAGCACAAGGAGGACTTCTTTCCCCAGCCCTGCTCCTTACCTTGCAGATGGTGGGGTAGGTGCAGCCGCCCTCCGGGTAGCCTCCCTCCAGCTTAAGGAGTCCTCCTCCAATTTCAGTGGCCTCTTCTCCCGTGGAAAATCCACTTAACCTGGGCGGAAGTCTCCTTAGGATGCAGGATGGCATTGGACTTTTGTTCAGTGGAATAGGAGGCTAGCAGTCCAATTCACGCCTCCTGCTTCAGCCTGGAGGGGTCATAGCCAAGCTGTTTGGGGGGAGCGTTGGGAACCCCAAAGCTTGGCCAGCCCTGCCCTTGAGCTTTTTAAACAAAGAGAGATCACGGGATGAGGCGAAACAATCAAACTACACACAACCCTGTCGTGATTAATACATTTAGTGGAATAAGTATTTCCTAAGTAGTGTTGACATCCTTTTCATAATGACGTAGAAAAAGGAAAGCCCTTGTGCCACGTGTCTTTGAAAGACTTCCCAAGGTTTTAAATGTTCAGGTCCTGTTCCATAATCAGTCCCATGTCCATATTTCACTTGCACATTGCATTCCCTGCAGCTCCACCAAGGCAGTTCCCGCGTAGTCTCCGTTCTGTAGCCAAATTCTCAGTTCATTTGTTATCTCTGGGTTCAATGAAGCAGCTCAAAGCAATCTCCCTCTCAGCGTTCTGAACCTAGAGTGTAAAGTAGCTTTACAGAACCCAGGGATAACAAAGGAATTGAGAATTCGGTTACACAGTGGGAGAAGAAGAAGAGATTGGATTTATACCCTGCCCTTCACTACCCAAAGGAGTCTCAGAGCGGCTGACAAACTCCTTTCCCTTCCCCTCCCCACAACAGACACCCTGTGAGGTAGGCGGGGCTGAGAGAGCTCTGGCAGAATCTGCTCTTTTTCAAGGACAGCTCTTATCAGAACTACGGCTTGCCCAAGGTCATCCAGCCAGGTGCAAGTGGAGAAGCGGGGAATCAAACCCGGTTCTCCCAGATTAGAGTCCGTGCACTTAACCACTACACCAAACTGGAGCAGAAGCCACGGCTGTTCCCATTGGTGGAGACAACGGGAATGCAGTGCACAAGTGAAATACGGACATGAATTGATTACAGAACAGAACTTAAAAACTTAAGACTTTAGGAAGTCTTTCAAGACACCCGGCACTGGAACTTTGCCTTTTCTATGTAATTATAAAAAGGGTGTTAACACTTGTTACGAAATACTTTTAAGACTGTTTGCACTAAATGTATGAATCCTATCACGGTTGTGTGTAGCCGGGCAGCTCCTGCTCTTGAGGTTGGCCGAAACGGGCGCCGGCAGCCGCTTGCCCCCTTTCTCGGATCCCACCGCTTCCATCGGGTTACGTTTCACGGAAATCCTCCGGGAGACGTGCCCCGCTTGCCTCTGGTCTGCCGCTCTCAGGAAGCCACCTTCTCCCGGGAGGTGCCGCGTCCCTGGCAGCGCCTCTCACTCGGCTCCTTTCCACTCCGTCCCCAGCCCCGAATGGATCAGTACTTCAACCAGATGGATAAGATCATCAAGGAGAAGAAGACGTCCTCGCGTATCCGCTTCATGCTGCAGGATGTGATCGACCTCAGACGGGTAAGGCGCAGGCCGGTAGCTTCCCAAGTGGCCCTCCCGGGCTAGGGGAGGGAGGCCCCCTCCACCCCACCCACCCACCCTCCGACTCATCCTTCCTGGGGTAAGCCGGCCTGACTTCCGGGCAAGGTTGCAAGGGCCTGCCTTTCCCTCCTGGGCCGACCCGAATGGGATCACTGGCAGCCCAGGTGAACCCCCTCTCACGTCTTCCTCCGGCCCCTGATACACCGTGCGGGCTTGCCGTGCTGGGCTTGGACCACGGACGCCTGTGCTCGATGCAGCCGGGCTGCCACGGTCTGACCCTTCCTGTCCCAGAGGCCGCTCTCTATGCTCGATCCCAGCTGGGGAGGGAGGGCCGGTTGTCGGCCTGGATGCGCACACCCCGACCCTGCTTCGGAGAACACCTTTGCCTTGGGTCTTGCACGTGACTTGTAATCAGAAAGGGGGTCTTGCCTTGGGGAGTGCTGTAAGGGTTCAGGCAGGCGGGAGGGGGAAGGGCCGTGGCCGAGTGGTAGAGCACCCGCTTGGCATGCCGAAGGTCCCCCGGTTCAGTCCCCCAGCATCTTCGATGAAAGGGGCCGGGCAGTAGATGATGTGCAAGACCTGAGACCCTAGAGAGCCTTCTGTCAATTTGAGTAGACGATGCTGAACTCGATGGACCCCTAGTCTGGTTCAATCTAAGGCCGCTTCCTCTGTTTAGGGGGAGGTGCCGCTGGGGCGTGCAACAGAAGAAGCCTCAGCAGCACAGTGTAGTGGGTTTTGGACCAAGTAGCCCCATGGCTCAGCCTCCTTCCGTGCCTTGGTAGCTCACAAGCCTGCTTCACCCCACACCAGTGCTCTCCTCTAAGCTGTGGAGTCTTCTGAGCCAAAATGCTACGTTCTGAGCTACTGTCATTACAGCTGTGAGCGAGCAGTTTGGCTACTGCATCAATTAGTTTGCTCTGGAGCCCACCCTTCCTGAGCTAAGACAAAAATGTGTGAACCGGAGGCTAAAAAACCGTGAGCTGGCTCACACTAACTCAGCTTAGAGGGAACACTGCCCCACACTGTCCTGTTGAATCCTAGAATCACACAGAGTTGGAAGCAGTGTTCCCTCTAAGCTGAGTTAGTGTGAGCCAGCTCACAGTTTTTTAGCCTCCGGCTCACACATTTTTGTCTTAGCTCAGGAAGGGTGGCCCCAGAGGAAACTAATTTTGCAGCAGCCAAATCGCCCGCTCACAACTTTAATGCCAGTAGCTCACAAAGTAGAATTTTTGCTCACAAGGCCCCACAGCTTAGAGGGAACATTGGTTGGAAGAGGCCATCTAGTCCAACTCCCTGCTCAGTGCAGGATCAGCCCGGAGTATCCCTGACGAGTGTCCAGCCGCTGCTTCAAGACTGCAAAAGAGGGGGAGCTCACCACCTCCCGAGGCAGCCGATTCCACCATTCCACAACTCTGACTGTAAAAACGTTTTGCCCGATATCCAACTGGTACCCTTCCCGCCCTTAATTTAAACCCATTCTTACGGGTCCTCTCCTCTGCTGCCACCAGGAACAGCTCCCTGCCCCCCTCTGAGTGACAGCCTGTCATGACCCCAGAGGGGTCTTTGGGTTCCGCCGCAACCACCCTGGACTTTCGGGTCCCTCGGGAGTCCCATGGTATCTCCCAAGCCCTTGCTGTCCGAGCACTATGGACGTGAATGACCCAGGCAAACACCCAAAATACATTAAACGGAACAGGTTTTATTGTGGGAATGATTGGGGCAAGGTGCTGGAACTGGGTAACAGGGGGAAGGAAAACCAAAAGAAAATAAACTTAACTCAGATGCCTCACTGTGGGTCGACTACCAGGCCCTAGCCTGCCTAACTCTCTCCGAAGTTTCCCCTTCTCCCAGCCCGGCCTGTCCCTCAGCGAGTCTTTTTCCACCATCAACCTTCAGCCAGCAACTCCTTAAACTGTCTTTTCCCCCAGACTTTGTTCCCAACAGATTCTAACGGTCTCCCTTAGAATCTTTCCTGACTCTCCCAATGCCTTCTGGGAGTTGTAGGCCTAGCCGCCTCCTACTGCCACCCAGGCCTCTTAGGCTGGCTAGGCCGTACTGGCACAGGCCAGATCATGACACAGCCCTTCAATGACTCCAAGAGAGCCATCCTGTTCCCCCTCCGCCTCCTCCAGACGGAACATTCCCAAGTCCCTCAGTGAAACCCTTTCGCTTAATCGTTCCAAGCACTGTGCCCGGATTCCGGTACTGTCCGCAGTTTGGCATTGCACCCAAACATTATTATTTTATTTTATTAATTCGGTTTTTGTACCCCGCCCTCCCCGCAAGCAGGCTCGGGGCGGCTTACGTAGCCGGTACAAAAATAACCAATAAAACCACCTAAGATCATTTAAAACAATTAAACTGTAATCATAAAATCATAAGGTGCTAGTAATAATTCTTTAGTTGCTTGACGTGGCGTGCTAAAATGCGTGCAATCAGACAAGTTTCCCAGCCCAGTGGTCTTCCGGAGTCACGCGGTGGTATAGGCCAGATGTTGAGGCTGAGGGCCCGGGCTCGCTGGTGGCAGTGGTGAGGGTGCGGCTCCTTAGTTGAAAAGCCTGGCGGAAGAGCTCCTTCTTGCAGGCCCCGCGGAACTGTAGAAGATCCCGCGGGCCCCCGATCTCTTCCGGGAGCTCGTTCCACTGGTAAGGAGCCACCACCGAAAAAGCCCTGGCCCTGGTAGTAGCGAGCCCGGCATCCTTCGGGCCCAGGAGAGAGGAGACACGCACCATCAGAGATGGCATCTGATTGGCCGGCATGCGACTGGGTAGGAGGGCTCTGGACGGAGTCGGCACTGGGGAAGCCCCGGAGGCGGTTCGTTCCAGGCGGCGGCGACAGCGGGGTGGTCTCTCTCTATCCCTCTTGCAGGCGGGCTCTACGGCTGTCCTGACATTTCCCCCGCTTTCCCCTCTGCCCCTTGCAGAATAGCTGGGTGCCCAGAAGAGGAGACCAGGGCCCCAAGACCATCGACCAGATCCACAAGGAAGCTGAGATGGAGGAACACCGGGAGCACATCAAAGTGCAGCAGCTGATGTCCAAGCAGGACAAGAGGCGGGGGCCGCCAGGCCCGTCCTCCGCAGGTGAGCAGGGCCCAACCGGGGAGAGAGAGAGACCTTTCCCACGCCCACCCTTCACTTGTGCCGCTGGCGGCCTTCTGTGCCGTCCCCGATTCCCTGCTTCCTGCCCAGTGGTTTAATGGTTGCTTTTAATGTATGTGCTTTAGCACTGGTTTTGTTCTATTATAGTCTATTTTTTATTTCTTTTGAAGAACGCCCCCCCCTCCCCAAAGCAAAAAAAACCCCAACCCTTACAATCTAGCAACTAATTTAAAAGGGGAGGGGGAGTATAAAGCGGCAACAAAATGGAAAGGGAGGCAGCGTGGCATAGCCTGATTTTTGTCAGATCTTGGAAGCTAAGCAGAGTCGTTACTTGGATGGGAGACCACCAAGGAAGACTCTGCAAAGGAAGGCAATGGCCAAACACCTCTGCTTCTCACTGGCCTAGAAAGGCCCTTGCTAGGGGAAGCTAAGCATGGTTGGTACGTGGAAGGGAGACCACCAAGGAGGGCTCTGCAGAGGAAGGCCGTGGCCAACCACCTCTGCTTCTCACTTGCCCTGAAAGCCCCTTGCTGGGGGAAGCCAAGGAGGGTTGGTACTCGGAAGGGAGACCACCAAGGAGGGCTCTGCAGAGGAAGGCCATGGCCAACCTTCTCTGCCTCTCACCCTGAAAGCCCCTTGCTGGGGGAAGCCAAGGAGGGTTGGGACTCAGAAGGGAGACCACCAAGGAGGGCTCTGCAGAGGAAGGCCATGGCCAACCACCTCTGCTTCTCACGTGCCTTGAAGCCCCTTGCTGGGGGAAGCCAAGCAGGGTTGGTACTTTGATGGAAGACCACCAAGGAGGGCTCTGCAGAGGAAGGCCATGGCCAACCACCTCTGCTTCTCACGTGCCTTGAAGCCCCTTGCTGGGGGAAGCCAAGCAGGGTTGGTACTTGGAAGGGAGACCACCAAGGAAGACGCTGCAAAGGAAGGCCATGGCCAACCACCTCTGCTTCTCATGTGCCTTTTAAGATGCAGTTTTGTTACATACATTTTAATTTGTCAGCTGCCTCGGTGGCCCTTACGAGGGCAGAATGGCAGGGGTATAAATTTTGTTAAATAAAATCCCTGATGCAGCTCTTGAGACCCCCCCCCCCCCCCCCCATGCGGAGGGACAGGGTAAGGGGGAGAGTAAATCCAGCCTCCCCTGGCATCCAGCATTCTTTTCCGCTTCGCTGGGCATTGATGACCATGCGCTAGCCCACATCCCCTCGCGCGCATCTTTGCACCCTTTGGCCGTAGCCAGAGAAGGGGTCCGGCCTTGACTTGGCTGTCTCCGCAGGTGGGCGAGGGAGCCTCGTCTCGGACGACGGCTGGAACACCGTCCCCATCAGCAAGGGGAACCGGCCGATCGACACCACTCGGCTATCCAAGATCACAAAGGTAAGCCGTCCGGCCCAGGGAAGGGAGCTCGGGTTCTGGCGCTGCACCGGCGCACGAGGGCGCAGGCGCCAGCTTGGCTTCAAGACCGGCTTTCTTTCAGTTGCGGAGGAGGAATGAATGTTGAGAGCCCGCTTGCCGTGAGGTTGCAGGAAGCTTGGAGGCGCACGTTTTTTTCCTCTTTCTCTGCTCTCGCATCCAGACGTCAGCCGCTCCTGCGCGCATGGGGGAAAAAAAATAAATTGCACAAATTGATTCTGCCTAGCTCTGCTTCCAAAACTCAGCTTTTTTCTGAACCTGGGACACGCTTTGGCAGGGAGAGATGAGAGGTGAAGGAAAGAGAGGGCAGGAGGCAGATGGCATGTGGTGGTGGGATTCAAAGTCTTTTTGAACCCGTGGGGCACCTTTGGAAGTCTGGCGCGGGGTGTGGGGCAAAACCAAAAAATGGCTGCCGCAGTAGGAGGAGCCAGTCCCAAAATGGCTGCCGCAGGAGGCGGAACCAGCCACAAAATTTCAGGGATCGAAGCTTTGTAGAACTCTGATAAATTTCAACAATCTGGGTAGAAAGCTCCATTTAACAAGATGCCTTTTAATCTGCACAGCCAATCAGAAGCCCTGCTGGGCAAAAGCCCCACCTGGCCACACCCAATTTCTAAAAGCATTTGGTGGGTGCCCGCGGGTGCCGTGTTGGGGACCCCTGGACTAGTGTCTTTCAGAGGGGGCATAGGGTGTTAATTTTCACATCCTGACCACTGGAAATGGCAGTTTGGTGTAGTGGTTAAGTGTGCGGACTCTAATCCGGGAGAAGCGGGTTTGATTCCCCCACTCCTCCACATGCAGCTGCTTGGTGGCCTTGGGCAAGCCGTAGTTCTGATAAGAACTGTTCTTGAAAAAGGGCAGTTTCTGTCAGAGCTCTCTCAGCCCCACCTACCTCACAGGGTGTCTGTTGTGGGGAGGGGAAGGGAAAGGAGTTTGTCAGCCGCTCTGAGACTGAAGGGCGGGGTGTAAATCCCATCTGAGTGAAGGGCGGGGTGTAAATCCCATCTCCTCTTCTTCTAATTTGAGCCTGCTCCAAGGCCTTTCCTGAGACATATTCCACTTTTCCCGTACAATAGGGCAGGGGCCCCAAACCTTTTTTGAGCCTGCGGCCACCTTTGTAATTCTGACATAGTCTAGTGGGCACACCCAGAAACTCGCTGGCACAGGAGGCAGATCCAGCCACAAAACGGCTGCATCTGGTTACCTTCAGTCACTCAGTGAAGAATCTTACATTGTGGTGGCAGCTGCTGCCGTTTTTTAAACTTTTGCACAGCCAATCAGAGGCCTTGCTGGGCAAAAGCCCAACCTGGCCTCATCTACTTTTCTTTTAAAAAAAATTGTACTTAGTGCTTAGTTTACAAAGCTATCATATATACTAAACAGAAAAATCATGCTATTCTGAAGTACAAAATATAATTCAAAATATAAATCCGCTCGCTTTTCAAATAAAGTTAGATTACGTTTCCCCGTCAGATTATTAATGTAACGCTGTAACTGAATAATAATCATCCAGCAATCTATCACTGATTGGCACACAAAACATTAAGCTTTCTCTTGATAAAAGGGAGCCATTTCTCTAATGAAGAGGATTGATGAGTTGGGTCCTCTTTGGTGATAACGTCGTCTGCTATTTTGCCTGAAATTTAAAAATTCTCATAACTTAACATGCCATAATTGCACTATGGGGGTGGGTTTCCTTCCATTGTAGAGCAACAAACACGGGTTTGGGCGGCAGTTGACATAATCATGATCAATTCTTTTCTTTCTTTTTTTAAAGTACCCATTAGGTACACTTTTATTATTTTTCATATTATACACAACAAACATACATACAACATATCACAGACAACCACTTACAAACATAAAGCATACAATGAGATCAGTATACTTTCTTATAACTCTATTACCATATTAAAAAGTTTCTTTAGGTTTGTTTAAGTTTCTGTGTACTCTTATCTTTTTACCATAGTTTCTATTTAACTAAAAAAGATTAATCCTACCAAAAATTTCATTACTTTGAACTATGCATTTATATTGTACCAGTCATACAGTTTTTTCCACGTCTTTTGAAATGTTGGGTCCGTTGTCCCTCTCATCAATTCTTTTCTGTTCGTAGGAATTTTTGCATCCAGTTTGGTGTAGTGGTTAAGTGTGTGGACTCTAATCTGGGAGAACCGGGTTTGATTCCCCACTCCTCCACTTGCACCTGCTGATGTGACCTTGGGTCAGTCACAAGCTCTGGCACAGCTGTCCTTGAAAAAGAGCAGTTTGGGTCAGAGCTCTCTCAGCCCCACCCACCTCACAGGGTGTCTGTTGTGGGGAGGGGAAGGGAGAGGAGTTTGTAAGCCGCTCTGAGACTCCCAAGTGAAGGGCGGGGTATAAATCCAATCTCTTCTTCTCTTCTTCTTCTCCCATAAATTTAGAAATATTCTACTTGGGGCTCATCCACTCCCTACAGACAGTTGGTGGAAGGGGTCAGCAGGCGCCATAGCACCCCACGGGGGCGCCAAGTTGGGGGTCCCTACAATAGCGGCTAGCTTTCACTGCACTACAGGGCCTCTACTCCTGCCTGCCTGTCCGCCCCGCCCATGATCTATTGCCTCAGCTCCTTCACCGCTATGATCTGGATTCATAAGGACCAGTAACTTCACCCTGCAAGCTCCGCTCTCAGGAGGGGCCAGTTCAGTCAGCAGCAGTTGACTGACTGCCTCGTTCCTCCAGTCAGCGACCGACCAGCATCGTCTCTAATCCCTCCCCCGCTTTTCTCCGCAGCCCGGTTCCATCGACTCCAACAACCAGCTCTTTGCGCCCGGCGGGCGGCTGAGCTGGGGGAAAGGCAGCAGCGGCGGATCGGGCGCCAAGCCTGCCGAACCAAGTAAGGCCAGGGGCAAGCCCCGGTATCGCCAAGAACTGGTTCCGTCGGGTGGGCCTCAGAAAGCGGCCTCCGGCCTCCTAACCCCCCCGCCCCCCGTCTTTTCTCTCGCTCAGCCTCCGATTCCAACCGACCCGCCACAAGTACCTTGAATCGCTTCTCCGCCTTACAGCAGCCGGCTCCTCCAGAGAGCCAAGACATTCGGCGGGTGGTGCAAAGGTGAGTCTCCTCCTCGCCCTCCAAGGGTCGAGGGTCTTCTCCCGTCTCTTTGAAGGGGTGCCGTAAGGGTCGGGGCCGACTGGCAGCAGCACTCCACCGTCTCGGGCGTAACTTCCAAATCACGAGATGTGATAGTCCTACTGAGCACGGCACTGGGCAGGCTACACCTGGGGTATTGTGTGCAGTTCTGGAGGCCTCACTTCAAAAAGGATGTGGACAGAATGGAGTGGGTGCGGAGGAGAGCAATGAGGGTGATCGGGGGCCTGGAGACCAAGCCCTAGGAGGGAAGCTTAAGGGACTTAGGACTTGGGAAGGTTCAATCTGGAGAAGAGGAGGTGGGGGGGGCAGGATGGCTCTTTTGAAGTCTTTGAAGGGCTGTCGCTCGGATGGGGGCAGGGAGCTGTTACCGTTGGCAGCAGAGGAGAGGACTCGCAAGAATGGGTTGAAATTAAGGGCTGTATATTAGGAAAAACCTTCTTGCAATAAGAGTTGTGCGAGAGTGGATTCAGCTGCCTGGGGAGGTGGTGAGCTCCCCCTCCCTGGCAGTCTTTCAGCAGCGGCTGGACAAACCCTTGTCAGGGATGCTCTGGGCTGGTCCTGCGCGGAGCAGGGGGTTGGACTGGATCGCCTGTAGGGCCCCTTCCAACTCTGGGATTCTACGATTTTTTGGCATCACCTGCTGCCAATTCCTGGGGCCTCTTCTGCATGCAAGCCCGACGCTCTGCCACGGAGCCCATTTCAACCCATTTGTGCGAGTCCTGTCCAACGTTCCCTCTAAGCTGTGGAGTCTTGTGAGCAAAAGTTCTACTTTGTGAGCTCCTGGCCTTAAAGCTGTGAGCGAGAGATTGGGCCGCTGCATCAGTTAGTGTGCCCTGGAGCCTTCCTGAGCCGAGACAAAAATGTGTGAGCCGGAGGCTAAAGAACTGTGAGCTGGCTCACACTTACTCAGCTTAGAGGGAACACTGGCTCCTGTCCTCCACTACTGACCGAAGAAGCTCCCTACTTTCCTCTGAACGACGGCACGTCAAATACTAAAAAGAAGAGTAATCCTATCCCCCACCCCAACCTCCACTTCTGTAGGCTGGACATTCCCGTTTCCCCACAGCCTTTCTTTGTAAAGCTTCGTCTCCGCACTCCTGATGATCCTCATTGCTCTCCTCTGCACCTACTCAGAAGTGTCTGTGTCCTAGAGGAACAGCGTGCCATACCGGTTAGAGAGCTGGACTCAAATCTGGGAGGCCCAGGCTCGAATCCGCCACTCTGCCACGGAAGCTGGCTGGGTGACCTTGGGCCAGTCGCGTGCTCTCAGCCTAGCCTACCTCACAGGGTTGTTGTGAAGATGAAATGGAGGAGAGGCGAACGATGTAGGCCACCCTGGGGGGCCCCATTGGAGAGAAAGGAGGAGCATAGATGAACTAAATCAAAAGACCTCTAGAATTGTGCACAGTCCTCCAGATGGGGTCTTCTTCCTGGAAGGCTAACTAGGTCACCTAGTTTGGTGTAGTGGTTTAGGAGCTCTAATCTGGGAGAACCGGGCTTGATTCCCCACTCCTCCACATGCAGCCGCTGGTGTGACCTTGGGTCAGTCACAAGTTCTCTCAGAGCTGTTCTCTCCAGGGCAGTTCTCTCAGACCTCTCTCAGCCCCGCCCCCCCATGTCACAGGGTGCCTGTTGTGAGGAGGGGAAGGAAGATTGTAAGCCACTCCTTGGGTAGTGAAGGGTGGGGTATAAATCCAATCTCATCTTCTTCTTCTGCCTGTCCCGGGCGGCACCGGCAATCCGCAAGGACTCCGGAGCCTAGCCCCGTTGCGTTCTCTTCCCCTGCAGAAGCAGCACCAGCCGCGACCGTTCCGAGAAGGGCGGCGACCGAGGGGACCGCTTGGAACGTGAGCGGCCGGAGAGAGGCGAGCGCCTGGAGCGGTCGGAGAGGCCCGACCGGTCGGACCGGAACCGGGCCCCCGTCACCAAGCGCAGCTTCAGCAAGGAGATGGACGACAGGAGTCGGGAGCGAGAGCGTGAGCGGCAAGGGGTCCTCGAGAGCATCCGGAAGGTGTCCAGCATGACGGAGGAGCGGGACCGGAGCCGGGAGCCCGGTGAGCGGTGGGAAGGAGGCAGCCGGGCCGGGGGGGGGGGGTCATCCCTTCCTGGAATTCCGGGCCAGGAACATCACCTCTCTCCCTGTCTGCAGCAAAACGAGAACCGGTGGCTCCAGAGGTGCCCGCCAAGCCTGCTTTGTCTGAGGAAGAGCTGGAGAAGAAGGCCAAGGCCATCATTGAGGAATACCTCCACATCAACGACATGAAGGTCGGTGGCGCAAGTAGAGCAGAGGATGCTGGGAAAGGAAAGGGTTTCGGCCTGTTTTGGAGGGGGGGGTTGGTTTTAACTGGCGGATAAGGAAGCAGCGGGTTCGTGCAGTCTGCTTCGTGCAGTGGCGCAATGCTGAGGAAGGTCTGTGTAGTTTAGAACATAAAAAGAGCCCTGCTGGATCAAACCACTGGTCCATCCAGTCCAGCATCCTGACTCACACAGTGGCCAACCACTGGAGGGCCAACAGCAGGGCAGAGAGGCCGAGGCCTTCATAAGAACATCAGAAGAGCCCTGCTGATTCAGACCAGTGGTCCCTCCATTCCAGCATCCTGTCTCACACTGTGGCCAGCTAGTTCCTCTGGAGGGCCAACAGCAGGGCAGAGAGGCCGAGGCCTTCCTAAGAACATCAGAAGAGCCCTGCTGGATCAGACCAGGGGTCCATCTAGTCCAGCATCATGTCTCACACAGTGGCCAACCAGTCCCTCTGGAGGGAGGACCAACAACAGGGCAGAGAGGGCATTGCCTTCCCCTGATGTTGCCTCTTGGTGCTGGTATTCACAGGTTGACCTCCCCTGAACATGGAGGTTCCCTTCAATCATATGGTTAATAGCCATTTACAGACCTTCCTCTGTGGATCTGTCCAATTCCCTTTCAAAGCTATCTATCCCTGTGGCCATCACTACATTATCTTGCAGAAAATCCCACATTTGTGTGAAGAAGTATTTCCTTTTGTTAATCCTGAACCTACTGCTCGTCAACTCCATTGGGTTCTCCAAGTTCTAGTCTTCCGAGAGAGGGAGGAAAGGTCCTTTCTGTCCACTCTCTCTTGTTACGCTGTATCCTCTGCATAATCCTAGAAACGTCCTGTCACATTTCCCCTCCTCTTCGCTGTCTCTTTTGTAAACTGAAAAGTCCCAGACTCTTTACCCTTCGTTGGGGTGTTGTGGGTTTGCGCCCTTTGAACCCGCTCACTTACATTCAAGTCCCCATTCAGCTTTCAAGGAGGCCGTGTCAGTCTCCTGTACAGGAACTCAGTTAACACTCTCAGCCAAGGAAATAACATTTAATTCATTCATCATCCACCTTCCAATCCATCCAGGATTCGTAGGGGAGAAGCTGGGGGATAATGGGCAAACTCTTTGAAAGTTGGCCTGTTCACCGTTGCCTGTCTCGGGCCCTGTGATGCCCTGCTGGCGAAAGAGCACTAAACACGTTCTGGGGTATCATCCCAAAACAGAATACTACTACTACTACTACTTCTTTTTTTTTTGAATTTTGAAATGTTTATGAAGATCAAGTGTAACCTATCAAAACATACAATAACTGCAAAACATTATGCAGAAGTCTTGAGAATCCGAAATTACAAACCAATCGGTTAGTCACTAACAAAACATTAACATACATCTATAGTTATAACAGGAGCTGCAGTGGCTCAAGTGGTTAGGACGCTGAACTGCAGGCTGTGGAAGGTCAGTAGTTCAGCAGTTCGAGACCCGAGTGTGCCACATGACGGAGTGAGCTCCCGTCTCTAGTTCCAGCTCCTGCCAACCTAGCAGTTCGAAAGCAAGAAATTGCAAGTAGATAAATAGGGACCACTTCGGTGGGAAGGGAACAGCATTCCGTGCGCCTTGGCGTCTAGTCATGCCGGCCACATGACCACGGAAACGTCTTCAGACAGCACTGGCTCTTCGGCTTTGAAATGGAGATGAGCACCGCAACCCTAGAGTCGGATTCGACTGGCTTTCGAGCAAGGGAACCTTTACCTTCACCTTACAGTTATAACATAATAAGACGGTATCGATTCCGTTCACCTATACAAAAGTGCTGTTTAAACCATACATTCCAATGAGTTGAGTCAAGTCTGTTGCTCTGATATACAAGAGGAGTCTCGGCAGTAAGGCGAAGGTCAAGGTGAAATCAGAAGTCCACTTTATGAAGTCCACATGGCTCCAGCCATGTGTGGTAGCTCATCCTAGAGGGAAGCACATTATGCTCTGCCATGGAGTCAAGTACTGGATACCAGGTAAGTACCGAGAACTTTCTCCAATCCAAGTTTATCTCGTATTTTCCCTTGTTTTACTAGATCTGAGAGACAAGTCAGATCTAGTCAAACAAGGGAAAATACGAGATAAACTTGGATTGGAGGAAGTTCTCAGTGCATCTATTCCCTGGTTCCGGTATTTACAGCTGAAGAACATGATTGATCATCTAGCTCAAACTGACATATTCACCAGACCTACTACTACTTCTTCTTCCTTCTTCTTTCTTCCTCCTCCTCCTCCTCCTCTTCTTCTTCTTCCTCTTCCTCTTCTTCTTCTACTTCTTCTTCTTCTTCTTCTTCTTCTTCTTCTTCCCTGAGTACACAGGGCTCTGGGCGATTCACAACAAATTAAAGCATACAAAAATGCAGATTAAAATCAACAAACAGCTTATCTTAATTCCACCATCCCCAGCTGGCGTCTATAGTTTGACTCAAAAACCTCCTCTGGGCTGTTCTTCCGTCTCACGGGCAGGTTTTCGGAGGAGGCCGAAGCGGGCGGGGCAGGAGCAGTGTTCCCTCTAAGCCGAGTCAGTGTGAGCCAGCTCACAGGGTTTTTTTAGCCTCCGGCTCACACATTTTTGTCTCCGCTCGGGAAGGGATGGGCTCCAGGGCAAAGTAATGGATGCAGGAGCCCAATCACTCGCTCACACCTTCCATGCCGGTAGCTCACAAAGGAGAATTGTTGCTCACCAGACTCCACGGCTTGGAGGGAGCATCGGGTAGGAGGGTGCCGGCTGTGATGGAAACCGTTGGCTGTCCTCAGGCAAAAGCCCGGCAGAACATCTCTGCCCTACAGGGCCCCGATGGAGGTTGGCAGAGAGTCCCACCAGGTCGGAGACGGGCCGGAAAAACCGCGGCTCTGGTCGAGGGCAGCCAGATACCTTCAGGGCCAGGGATCACCAGCAGATGAGAATGCATTGGGTGGCCCATGGGAACTGAAAGCACATCAGAATTTCCTGGGGGGGGGGGGGGAGAGGCCAGTTTGGAGTAGTGGTTAAGTGCGGGGACTCTAATCTGGGAGAACCGGGTTTGATGCCCCACTCCTCCACTGGCACCTGCTGGATGACCTTGGGCAAGCCGTAGTTCTGATAAGAGCTGGTGCGGGGGGGGCACAGTGGGAGGGCTTCTGGAGTTCTTCTGGCCCCCCTGGGGGACCTCCTGAGGACACCTGGGGTTCTGTCCACTGTGTGACACAGAGTGTTGGGCTGGATGGGCCACTTGCCTGAACCAACATGACTTCTCTTATGTTCTTCTGCCTCTCCAGTTTGGTGTAGTGGTTAAGTGTGCGGACTCTAATCTGGGAGAACCAGGTTTGATTCCCCACTCCTCCACTTACACCTGGCTGGATGACCTTGGGCAAGCCGTAGTTCTGGCACAGCTGTCCTTGAAAAAGAGCCGTTTCTGTAAAGAGCTCTCTCAGCCCCACCCGCCTCACAGGGTGTCTGTTGTGGGGAGGGGAAGGGAAAGGAGTTGGTAAGCCGCTCCGAGACTCCTTTGGGTAGTGAAGGGCGGGGTATAAATCCAATCTCCTCCTCCTCCTCCTCCTCTTCTTCTTGTGTGAAGTGCCGTCAAGTTGTTTCTGAGAGCTAAGCACTGGTGCAACCCTTCCTGCCAGTTTGGTGTCGTGGTTGAGTGCGCGGACTCTAATCTGGGAGAACCGGGTTTGATTCCCCCACTCCTCCACTTGCACCTGGCTGGATGACCTTGGGCAAGCCGTAGTTCTGATAAGAGCTGTTCTTGAAAAAGAGCAGTTTCTGTCAGAGCTCTCTCAGCCCCACAAGGTGTCTGTTGTGGGGAGGGGGAGGGCAAGGAGTTTGAAAGCCGCTCTCCTCCTCCTCCTCTTCTTCTTCTTCATGTTTTGCGGCTCTCAGACATCTGACATTTACTCTGTGGGGCTCTTAAGCTGAGCAAGTTTGGAAACCCCTGCTCTGCCTGGATCATCCCGAGCGCTCTCATTCCCTCTTTCGCAGGAGGCCCTCCAGTGCGTGCAGGAGCTGGGCTGCCCCTCCCAGCTGTACATCTTCGTGCGGAACGGCATCGAGTCGACGCTGGAGCGGAGCACCATCGCCCGCGAGCACATGGGGCTGCTGCTGTACCAGATGGTGAAGGGGGGCTCCCTCTCCAAGGAGCAATACTACAAAGGGTAATGGAGGGCCCCCCCCTGACCCCGGGGGAGAGGGTGGCGACGGCGCTATCCCTGTCTCAGCAGGCCACATAAAACTCTTGACGGCTCCCCCCCTTTCCTTCCTCCGCCACAGGCTGCTTGAGATCCTGGAAATCGGGGAGGACATGGAGATCGACATTCCGCACATATGGCTGTACTTGGCGGAAATCATCACCCCCATCCTGAGGGAAGGGGGCATCCCCATGGAGGAGCTTTTCAGGTAAGCCGGCCCCCGGTACCCTGTGCTCTCCTGTTCCCTCTAAGCTGAGTTAGCGTGAGCCGGCTCACAGTTTTTTTAGCCTCCGGCTCATGCATTTTTGTCTTAGCTCGGGAAGGCTGGCTCCAGAGCAAACCAATTTACGCAGCAGCCAAATCGCTCGCTCACAATTTTAATGCCAGGAGCTCACTGTCGGGGTCCTTAGTCAGGTTACGCACCACAGGGCTTCATGAGAAGATAACGGTTTATTGGTAAATCCAGTACTAGAGACACGTGTACAGCTTGTGTCAGGAATGGCCGCCACTACTAGGGCCTCTGACTTATACTAGAATCAAACATCCCCCCGGTAAGCGTGAGCCAATGGATACATCTCGCGCGGGCGGGCAAAGCAAGCAGGCAAAGCAAAAGCCGTTAACTTTCCCAGCCAAGTAAAACTGCAGCTGGAGCATCTACAAGGTCAAGCATAAGATAGCAAACAGTTGGTGAGCCAGGGAGAGCTGAGACAGAAAACGGGAGGGAACCCCTCCACATTCCAAACCTATGACAGGGCTACCTAACACTCACAAAGTAGAATTTTTGCTCACAAGATTTCACAGCTTAGTCATGGGCGTCGAACTCATTTGTTACGAGGGCCGGATCTAACATAAACGGGACCTTGTTGGGCCGGGCCTTGTGTGTCATAAAAGGTAATGCCAGGTAATGGAAATATAAACTTTATAAAGGACACAGACAAACACAAAGATTTTTTTAAACTTTATAAGTAACACATTTCCAGTGAGTTCGACACCCCTGGCTTAGAGGGAGCACCCCCCCGGGGGGGGGGAGCACATGAAACTGACTCATATTGAATCAGGCCTTCGAGTCCATCGAGGTCAGTATTGTCCACTCTGGCTGGCAGCAGCTCTCCAGGGTCTTAGGCGGAGGTGGTTTCCCATCACCGACTGCCTAACCCTTCTAGCAGGAGATGCCGGGGATTGGATCCGGGACCGTCTGCATGCCAGGCAGGTGCCCTGCCACAGAAGGCACTTTATCCTGATTGGCCTTTCAAGGCCAGTGCTGTCTGCTCAGACTGGCTGGAGCTCTCCAGGGTCTCAGGCGGAGGTCTTTCACATCACCTCTTGCCTGGTCCTTTAGAGACGCCTGGGATTGGACCCAGGACTTTCTGCATGCACTGAGCCATGGCCTAGAGGAAACTGCCTCATCTTGATCAGTCTATCGAGGTGAATGTTGTCTGCTCTGACGAATAGCTGCTCTCCAGGGTCTCAGAACTCAGAGGTCTTTCCCATCACTTGCGGCCTGGTCCTCTTAATGGGTGGTGCTGGGGATTGAACCTGGGACTTCCTGCATGCTAAGCAGAGGCTCTTCCACTGAGCCATGGCCTAGAGGAAGCTGCCTTATTGGCCTGTCAAGGTGAGTGTTGTCTGCTCTGACTAGCAGCAACTCTCCAGGGTCTCAGAGCTCAGAGGTCTTTCCCATCACTTGCGGCCTGGTCCTTTTGATGGGTGGTGCCGGGGATTGGACCTTGGACCTTCTGCATGTAAAGCAGAGGCTCTTCCGCTGAGCCACAGCTCCCATCCACCTTTGTACCCATAATGAGACTGACCCCTTTCTGCTTCTGCAGGGAGACCGCCAAGCCCTTGGTGCCGATTGGCAAGGCCACTACTCTGTTGCTGGAGATCTTGGGCCTCCTCTGCAAAGGGATGGTAAGTTGCTTTTCTACCCACGATTCTGCCTCGTCTTGCTTCTGCCGCCCACCTTTCAAACGAGTACAGAGAAGAACCAGGTTAAGAACAAGATACCAAATATTTATAGTGGTTATCTAACGTTCTGTAATCTTTCCAAATACTATTCTTACAGAAGATATACGATTCTTAAAGGGATAGTACAACAACAGCACTCCAAAAGGTAAGCACAATGGTTGCTGAAGTCCCTTATTTTGTTCTTTTCTTCCAGGTTCCCGAAGAGACCCTCCGGCTTCCCAGCCACCAAACATATTACCGGTGTGGGCGTGTTTTTGCAGACTTCCTCAAAGTCGCATACAATGCGAAAATGTCACCTGGAACTATAAGTAAAAGTAGGGCTCTTTTTGTAGCAGGAACGCCTTTGCATCTTAGGCGACACACCCCTAATGTAGTCAATCCTCCAAGAGCTTACAGAGCTCTTCTTACAGGGGCTACTATAAACTCTTGGAGGATTGGCTACATTAGGGGTGTGTCGCCTAATATGCAAAGGAGTTCCTGCTACAAAAAGAGCCCTGAAAAGTAATATTAACAAAAAACTAATTCAGGATACATCATTTGTAATATCCGTTATATAATCCGTATATTATTTATAGTAAGCTTACCCTGAGCCTTTATATGTTATTTCCTGACATTGATTCGCTCTCCGCAGAATAAATTCTCCCCAAAGTAAAGGCGGCTTGTCCGCTTCATTACAAAGTGGTGAAAAGGTTCTAATGGAACAGACTGCCGCCTTTACTTTTAGAAGAATTCATTCTGTGGAGAGCAGAAAAGTTGGCCGGGTTTTGGGGGGAGGGGGGGAGCCGAAAGTGACGCGAGTTGCTGAGCGCATGCGCGAAAAGGGCAGTTGGCGCCAGGGTGGGTCGCGCGCACCCTCGCGGTTGAAGAGAAAAAGAAGGGGGGGGGGGGGGGGGAACCGTAAGAGACTTTAGCAACCTTCGTCCTTAATTTGGACTGTCACACTACCCTTTAAGAATCGTATATCCTTGTAAGAATACTATTTGGAAAGATTCCTGAATGTTAGATCACCACTATAAATATTTGGTAGCTTGTTCTTAAAACGGTGCCATTATTTTCTCTACTAGCTACAGGACACCGTGGCCCTTTTTGTAGATTTCAACTTTCTAAGTGGGCATAACCTGCTTCAACTTCTGTTCTTCATTTAGTTGGCACTCCACCTTTCTCCCAGCTGGTTGGTGGGGGAGAATTACCCCCTGAAAATAGACAGGAAGCAGGAAATAAATGTGATGTCAGGGGGTGCGGCGGTGGCTCAAGTGGTTAAGACGCTGAACTGCAGGCTGTGGAAGGTCGGTAGTTCAGCAGTTCGAGACCCGAGTGTGCCGCATGATGGAGTGAGCTCCCGTCTCTAGTTCCAGCTCCTGCCAACCTAGCAGTTCGAAAGCAAGAAATTGCAAGTAGATAAATAGGTACCACTTTGGTGGGAAGGGAACAGCGTTCCGTGCGCCTTGGTGTTTAGTCATGCCGGCCACGTGACCACGGAAACGTCTTCGGACAGCGCTGGCTCTTTGGCTTTGAAACAGAGACGAGCACCGCAACCCTAGAGTCGGACTCGACTGGCTTTCAAGCAAGGGAACCTTTACCTTTACCTTAACAACCCTGTGAGGGTAGGTTAGGCTGAGAGCATGTGACTGGCCCCAAGATTCCATGGCAGAGTGGGGATTCGAACTCGGATCTCCCAGATCGTAGCTCCTAAGCACTATACCACCGTTGGCTGCATGTTCTGTGGGAATGACCTGCAGGTGGTTTCTCCGATCCAAGCACTAACCAGGGCTGACCCTGTACAGTTTCAAGACAGACATTCAGAGGTGGCTTGCCATTGCCTGCCCCTGCATAGCAACCCTGGGCTTCCTGGGTGGTCTCCCATCCAAGCACTGACCAGGGCCGACTCTGCTTAGCACCCAAGTTCTGACAAGCTCAGGCGAGCCCGGGCTCTTTGGGCTGCTGTTAGGGAGAATTGCCGCAATGCAGGACGGTAGCTACAGTGGTGCTGGGGGGGGGGCTCTGCCCCCCTTTCTCAAAGGCACAGCCCCACAAGAATTTCTCTCACAAATGCTTTTTCCCAATCATTTTAAAACATTTTTTTAAAAGGCGTGAGCTCCTTGAAGCAGAGTGGGGTGCTGTAGTTGACCGATTCCTACACTGAGCAAGGGGGTTGGAGTAGGTGACCTCTAGGATACCTTGTGACGCTGTGTCAAGAAACTGGTCTCCTTTAGGAGAGTTTTTTTCTGCCTGAGTGTTCGCTTCCTTGCCTATAGAGTCATCACCCCCCACCTGCTGGCTTGCTGATTCAAGCTGGCAGAAGTGATTAACTTGCAGCAGCTGAGAACTGTCCTGTAAAGTGGCTGACAGCTTGCAGTTTAGAGATCTATCCTGGTAACCGCTTTCTATTGGCTGAATTGCTTTTCTGTCTGCACTGAGAACTTGTGCCCCACCGGAATAAAGTTTTCCCCACGAGCCACAAAATCCCGACTGTGGGCCTGCCGCAACCGTGACCTTCTCTTTCTTCTCTGTAGAGCCACAAGAAGGCCGGAACACTGTGGAGAGAAGGGGGTCTCAGCTGGAAGGAATTCCTGCCCGAAGACGAGGATGTCAATAAGTTCATCACCGAGCAGGTGAGTGGCGCTGAAGGCCACAGGGGTTTCCTCGGCTCTCCCACGTGTCCTTCCCCAGTTCCGTGTCGACTATTGCGAGTTTCGGTGGGGAGGGCTCCTTTCGGCAGCCGCCACGGCCTGCAGCTCTGACCAGCTTCCTCCTTCCTCCCAAAAATCAGCAAATACCGTGCTACAGATGGTTATAAAATATCTCAAATAATTTCTATATATTTTTTGTTTTATATTTTTACAATTTACTCACCACGTTATTTATCATATAAGCCTTAATACATAGAGAGAATCGTATATCAAAACGTCTAAGTATCGTCTCTTAATATATCACAAAAGATATTGCACAACCCCTTTATTAATATCAGTCCTCCTTAATTGTACAGAAGTTTTAAGAGGGAGGTCTCCTTTAAGTCTGTTTTGAGGGAGGACTCCTTTAAGTCTATTTTGAGGGAGGTCTCCTTTAAGTCTATTTTGAATAAGTGCTCAGTCTTCCTCCAACAGAGGTCCAGATATCCTCCTGTTCCAGTGTCTTCCTCAGGGAGTTCAACAGATATTTCCAAGCACAAGGTTGCCAGATACCAAAATATTTATCCAATTTTTTCAATGAACGCTGCAAAACGTCTCTCTTAGTGAGCTCAAAGCTTCCTCCAAAGTGAATAGCAGCTCTGACCAGCTTCCTTCTTCCTCCCGCCTGTTCCAGAAAGTGGAGTACACGATGGGCGATAGCTCAGACGCGCCCAGCCGCAAGGAGCTGACTTCCGAAGAGCTGTGCAAGCAGCTAGACAAGCTATTGAAAGAGAACGCGAATTACCAAAGAATATACGACTGGATTGAGGTGAGCGGGACTTTAGCAAGGTTGGCCCTGATTAGATGGGAGACCGCCAGCAAAGTCCAGGGTTGCTAGATTGAGGCAGGCAATGGCGGACCACCTCTGAACGTGGAAAACCCCAGGTGGTCACCAGTGTTCCCTCTAAGGTGAGTGAGTGTGAGCCAGCTCACAGTTTTTTAGCCTACGGCTCACACATTTTTGTCTCAGCTCAGGAAGGAGGGCTCCAGAGCAAACTGACTGATGCAGTAGTCAGATCACTTGCCCACAACTTTAATGCCAGCAGCTCACAAAGTAGGATTTTTGCCCACAAGACCCCACGGCTTAGGGGGAACATTGGTGGTCACTCTAAGTTGGCCACGACTCGACCAGCTCTTTAGACACAGACGCCGACTTGACTTGGATAGTCCAGGATTGCCCGATCTCATCAGATCTCAGAACCTCAGCTGGTTCGGCCCTGGTTTGCACACGGACGTGGTACCACCAAGGACGTCTGGGGTTGCTACACGGAGGCAGACGATGGCAGACGGAGCCTGCTGTGCGGGGAGGGCGGGATGCAAATCCGATAAAATGAATGAATACAATAAATACAAACTGTCCCTTGCCTTGAAAACCCTGTTGGGGTAGCCATAAGTCTGCTGCAAATTGATGGCACTCTCCACCGCCAAAAGAGCCGTCATCTGCTTATCCACAGAGCCAATTTGGTGTAGTGGTTAAATGCGTGGACTCTAATCTGGGAAAACCGGGTTTGATTCCCCACTCCTCCACATGCAGCTGCTGACGTGACTCCGGGTCTGTCATAAGTTCTCTCAGAGCTGTTCTCTCAAGGACAGTTCTGGAAAGAGCTCTCTCAGCCCCACCTACCTCCCAGGGTGTCTGTTGTGGGGAGGGGAAGGGAAAGGAGATTGTAGACTGCTCTACACTCTGAGTGAAGGGCGGGGTATAAATCCAATCACTTCTCTTCTTCTTCTTGTATACTCAAATTATCTTATATCCCAATATGCTTGGAGCGCTGAGTAGTTCCACCAGATATGTAGAAACGTGCCAGTCATGTCTCAGTATTGGCTAGAAACTGAGCTAAACCTTCTTGCCCACCCTTTCTAATTCCTTTGCATCTTCTTTTCCACCAGGCAAACTTGAGTGAACAGCAGGTCTCATCCAACATGTTTGTCAGGGCCCTGATGACGTCGGTGTGCCATTCAGCTGTTGTCTGTAAGCATCCATGTGTGTTTGTCGCTGGAGGGGAGGGAGCTGTGGTCTGCAGGGAGTGTTGTGCTCTGGTTATCTCCTGGGGGCTGGAATTTCATTCCGTTCCTGGTTTGTCATAGGAAATGGAGCAGAGGTCCATGAGTGGCTATTAGCCACAAGGTATAGATGGAACACTCTGTCTGGGGCAGTGATGCTCTGTATTCTTGGTGCTTGGGGGGCAAGAGTGTGAGGGCTCCTGGAGTTCTAGCCCCACTGCTGGACCTCCTGATGGCATCTGGGTTTTGGCTGCTGTGTGACCCAGAGTGTTGGACTGGATGGGCCATTGGCCTGATCCAGGATGGCTTCTTTTATGAAATGGTCTTATTGGTCAACCTAGCTTAAAGTCGCCACCTCCGACGTGGCAGTGGGTTCTCTCAGTCAGGGAAAAGATCGGTCTGAACTCCTGCTATTCCCAAGATCTGGAGATGTTGAGGAACGATGAACCTGGGATCTTCCGCATGCTGGTGTGAATGATCATATGTTTGGTTGATAGAACAGTACAGGCCAGGGGTCTATGAAGAAGTCCTTGGGCTCATTTGGAATTCTGACACAGGTTGGTGGGAGCAGCCATAAAATGGCTGCTGTAGGAGACAGAGGGAAAAAAGGAGAACGAAATTGTCCAGAGTCACCTTTAAGACCAACAAAGTTTTATTCAAAGTGTAAGCTTTCGTGTGCAAAGCACATCTCTTCAGACAAATGTAACAAAATCTCCTCAGGTTATTTACAGGAAAGGGGGGGGCAGCCGTTAGGAGGGGCCACTGAGAGCCAAGATGCACATGCAGAGCTGAAATTGGATTGGGTGGCCGGTAAGATCAGTGAATAGCAGCAAATGAGCACGTGAATGCAAGAGTTAACAGAAAGATGTGAGAAGGAACCTACCAACACTGTGGTGGCAGCGCCTGCCAAAACAATGTTAAATCTAACCTGCACGGCCTTTCAGGAGTTCTGTTGAGCAAGAACCCAACCTGTCTTCCGAAATGCTTGGTCGGCACCAGGAAAGGTGTCGTCAGCAGGTTCTATGGTGCCCCTGGGCACCACGTTGGGGATTCCAACGTGGGCAATCTGGGGTTGGAATTTTTGTTTTGCTGACTTTCCACCCGGTTTAGAGTCTCCAAGGTGGTGAACAATCACAATCCCAATTATAAAAATACTAATGATATAAAACCAATTAGAAACAACAATTGAAACAAAGCTCATAAACAGAAAGGGGAGGTCAGTGAGACGAAACAGGCAAATATGTCTTCAGCAACTGGCACAGGACAGTGGGCGATCATTGAGGGGTTTTTCAGGGAAGGTGTGACTGGCGTGGCCTAGTTGGGGGCCAGGTGATGGGGCAAAGAGTAAAAGTTGCCCACCTGGGAAGCCCTAAGCATATCTTTTTTTGGATTTGAAGTATACTGTACACACTTGTCAGTGCAATAGGAACATAAGAAGAGTCCTGCTGGATCAGACCAGTGGTCCCTCTAGCCCAGCATCCTGTCTCATACAGGGGCCAACCAGTTCCTCTGGAGGGCCAACAACAGGGCACAGAGGCCGAGGCCTTCATAAGAACCTCAGAAGAGCCCAGCTGGATCATACCACTGGTCCCTCTAGCCCAGCATCCTGTCTCATACAGGGGCCAACCAGTTCCTCTGGAGGGCCAACAACAGGGCACAGAGGCCGAGGCCTTCATAAGAACATCAGAAGAGCCCTGCTGGATCAGACCAGTGGTCCCTCTCGTCCAGCATCCTGTCTCACACAGGGGCCAACTTGTTCCTCTGGAGGGCCAACAACAGGGCATAGAAGCCAAAGCCTTCACAAGAACATCAGAAGAGCCCTGCTGGATCAGACTAGTGATCCATCGAGTCCAGCATCCTCTCTAGGGGTGTGCAAAAAAAAAGCTGGTATTTTTCACGTTTGGGTAAATCAGACCCGGAAAATATCGGTAAATGCCGAATTTCCCCATTCCTGAATATATTTGGGTCCGATTTACACCACCCGGGGGAAAGGAGGTATGTTAGAATGCCTTCTTTCCCTCTGGTAGACCCTGCAGAGTTCCCTGTCAATTTCACTCCCCCAGCTGGGAGTGAAATTGACAAGGGAGAGCCTGGCTCTCTGCCTTCCCTTCTCAAGCTGACAAATTGTAGCTGGAAAAGGGCAGGCAGGGAACTTAGGCATGTTTACAATGCCTTTCTTTCCCTCCCCGATCTCAGGGAGGGAAAGAAAGGCATTTTAAACAAGCCTATTTCCCTTCCCGGTCTTCTCCAGGCACCCCGTGGCTGCGGGGCACCTGGAGAATATTGGGAAGGGAATCAGGCATGTTTGCCTGGCTGCCCTTAGTCTCCCCAGCCTGCGTGCCTTGGCAGGCTGGCTGGGGAGACCGAGGGCAGCCAGTCAAACATGCCCCCTTACTTCCCTGGGCCTCTCCGCTATTGCGGAGAAGCCCAGGGAAGGGGGTAGGGGCCATGTTTAAATGCCTTTCTTTCCCTCCCTGATCCCATGGTTGCAGGGCACCTGGAGAAGATCGGGATGGGAAGCAGGCATGTTTGCCTGGCTGCCCTCAGTCTCCCCAGTCTGCGTGGCTACGGGGCACCTGGAGAAAATCAGGAAGGGAAGCAGGAGAAGATCGGGGAGGGAAAGAAAGGCTGGGGAGACCGAGGGCAGCCAAGTAAACATGCCTGTTTCCCTTCCCGATCATCTCCAGGTGCCTGGCAACCGCAGGGCCCCTGGACAAGATCAGGAAGGCGAGCAGGCATGTTTACAGTGCCTTTCTTTCCCTCCCCAACATCGGAGAGGGAAAGAAAGGCATTTAAACCCAACAGCTGATTGGCAGCTGAGCCGACTGTTAGGTTTAATGAGACCTGTTTCGTATAGCAAAATGAACCTGAAAAAAGCCTGATAATTACAGGCTTTTTCGGGTTCAGCTATACCAGTAGCTGAATATTGTATTTGGCTTATGCCGAATGTTTTTGGTATTTTTCGGGTATTTTTTCGGTTCGGCTATAGCTGAATGCACACCCCTAATCCTCTCTCACACACTGGACAACCAGTTCTTCTGGAGGGCCGACAACAGGGCACAGAGACCGAGGCCTTCAGAAGAACATGAGAAGAGCCCCGCTGGATCAGACCAGTGGTCCCTCTAGTTCAGCATCCTATCTCACACAGTGGCCAATTAGTTCCTCTGGAGGGCTAACGGTAGGGTAGAGAGGCCAAGGCCTTCTCCTGGTTTTTCAAGTATTTTATTATTATTGAAAACATTTTTAGGGTGCCTCTCCACCCAAATGGGGTCCCCAAGGCACACAACCTGAATCGGACCCTCTGTCCATCAAGGTCAGTCTTGTCTACTCAGACTGGCAGCGGCTCTCCAGGGTCTTAAGGCAGACGTCTTTCACATCACCTACTGCCTAATCCTTTTAAAAAAAACAAAAAAACTGGAGATGTCGATTGAACCCAGGACCTTATGCATGCCAAACAGATGCTCTACCACTGAGCCGCAGTCCCTCCCCGTATGATGTGAGGATAAAATGGAAGACGGGAACAACGTAAGCCTTTTAGAGGTCCCTATCGGGGCCCGGAAGGCAGGTTAGAAACTCATGAAGGGTGCGAAGGATGCAATGTATATGTGAGCAACCCTTTCCCTCCCGCCACTGCAGTCGAAAATCCGTACCGGATGGACAGCGCGGTGATCAAAAGCCGAGCCAAGCTGCTGCAGAAATACGTGAGCGACGAGCACAAAGAGCTGCAGGCCCTCTACGCCTTGCAGGCCCTCGTGGTGAAGCTGGACCAGCCAGCAAGTAAGTGGGACTCCCCGGCCACAGGGAAACATCTCCCCCCCCCCCCCCGCCCCCACAGGAAGCTTCAGGGGGGGGGGGGCTGCATGGGGCCCATTACCCTTGGGTACATCTGCCTTGGCTCTGGCTGAATGAGGTCTGGATAATAATAATAATCTTTTTAAGACTGTTCTGCTTTTCAGGTGGGGATAGCCGGCAACGCTCCCTCTTTAAGCTGTGGAGTCTTGTGAGCAAAAAATTCTACTTTGTGAGCTATTGGCATTAAAGTTGTGAGCGAGCGATTGGGCCGCTGCTTAAATTAGTTTGCTCTGGAGCCCATCCTTCCTGAGTGAAGACAAAAACGTGTGAGCCGGAGGCTACCAAACTGTGAGCTAGCTCGCACTCACTCAGCTTAGAGGGAACACTGGTGGTTCTAATTTTGCTGCCGTTGCTGGTTTTGCCTTATCGCATTTGGTTTTTATGGACACTTCGATCATACATAGGGTTGCCAGCTCTGGGTGGGGAAATATCTGGAGATTTTGAGGGGTGGGGTGTGTTTTTTGTGTGGAGGGGGGGACTTCAGCCGCAGAGGATGCCCTAGAGTCCATCCTCCAAAGCAAGCATTTCATCCAGGGGAACGGATCTCTGTTGCCGGGAGACCAGTCGTAATAGCAGGCCACACCTGGAAGTTGGCAACACTGATCGCACAGCATTGTTGTCCAGTCTCTCCAGTGCCTGCACGTCGCTATGGAGGTTGGACAGGGTGCCGTATAATCAGCTATCCACACAATCAGAGGCAGTCCATCAGAATCAGCAGCGGTAATGCGGAAACAGCGAGGCGAAGTAGAGATTATTTTAACGAGCCCTCGTAGGGGTGGTGGAAGAGTGTGTCAGAGCCAGTGTTCCCTCTAAGCTGAGTAAGTGTGAGCTAACTCACAGTTTTTTAGTCTCCGGCTCACAGATTTCTGTCTTAGCTCAGGAAGGATGGCTTCAGAGCAAACTAATTTATGCAGTAATCAACTTGCTTGCTCACAAAGCAAAATTTTCACTCATAAGACTCCACATCTTAGAGGGAGCGTTGGTCGGAGCTGCAGCTCATTTCTCTCTCTCTCTCTCTCTCTCTCTCTCTGCGCCTCAAGATCTGCTCCGCATGTTCTTCGACACCTTGTACGACGAGGACGTGATTAAAGAGGAAGCCTTCTACAAGTGGGAGTCGAGCAAGGACCCGGCCGAGCAGCAAGGGAAGGGGGTCGCGTTGAAATCGGTCACCGCTTTCTACACTTGGCTGCGGGAAGCCGAGGACGAATCCGACAACAACAACTGAGCGCCGACACCGGTGGGGGGCGGCGGCGGCCCAGCTGCTCCGTCTGCGGGAAGCCGAGGACGAATCCGACAACAACAACTGAGCGCCGACACCGGTGGGGGGCGCCCCCCCCTTCCGCGGAGCCTTGGACTCCCTCGGGGAGATAGCGTGGAGGGAAGGGCAAGCAGGTTTGCGGCCATTGTCCTCCCTCCCCTTCTCCCGTTTAGGACTTCTTCTCCTTCCTTTTGATTTTTTTTCGTTGGTTTTTTTTCTTTTCGATTTTTTTTTTCCGTTTTAAAGGCCTGTATTGGTTTGTGTCTGACGATAATAAATTGATGCTGAAGGAGGTAGGTGTTGCTGTGGGCACTCCGCTCAGCCCTCCCCCCACTCCGGGCCAATGCCCTGGGCAACCCGGATGATTTTAATGAGTGTGGGGCCGCCCCCCCTGACTTTTGCAGTTGCAAAGCACCCGAAACACGTTGTCTCCGGAAGAGGGTTAGGGGGAGGCCGATGACTGCCGCTTCCCCCACCGCCCGCCTTTCCCAGTTATTGCTGAAATATAGAGAGAGTATATAAATATATATATAAAATATAAATATAGACTTATTAAATCTTTTGAGGTTTGAGAGGATAGGACTCTAGCGTCCGCAGACTTTTGTCCTCTTTTTTTTGTTTTGTTCCCGCACCCCCCTACACCGACCCGCACCCTTGGATCACCGCTTGGAATCACACAAACCTCTCGATGGACGCTTGAAGGTCCCTGGGGGGGGTGGGGTGGCGGGGGCTTGGCCTCTCCCCCTCTCTCTGCACGCACCCGCCCGCAACAGTGCTTTATTGGCTCCTCGGGCCCCCCTGCCTCCCGCCCCCCCGCCCCTTTCCCCTCCACAGGGCCACGGTTGCGCGATCTGCCTCGTCCATGCCGGACAGTTAAAAAAGGAGCCGCGCCTGTAATTAAAATTGGGGGGGGAAACGAAAAAACAAAGAAAAACGAGGATTCGATTACCGGTCACATGAATTTGTAAATATTTTTTTGCTTTTTTTTTTCTTTATGGAGTATTTAATTGAAGATTTAAAGGCATCTTTTCACCGTAAACTGGAAATAAAAAAAAAAGAACATTGCTAAATCAAGGTGACGTGTACTGCTGTCCCCATCCGGCGTCACCTAAGTAGGTTTTATCCCAAGGGCCGGCTTTTCCCAAGCCCGGCTCCGACCGCCTGACCCGGCAGAGGTTTCCGTGCGCTCTGAGCTGCCTTCTCTTGGGGAGGACGGCCAGACCTTTGAAAGGGTGAGGCTCTCCCCCCACATCCAAGGACCCGAAACACATCTGACGCCCGAAGAATTTCTCAGGAGTATGGGAGAGGAGGAGGTTTGGGCAGCAGGAGGCACCCGCCAAGGGCAGGAACCTGACGTGGGTCAACTCCGGCAAGCGTCTCCGGCTTGGGTGAAGCGTACCAATCGTGGCTGCGCATGGGCACAAAATGTGCCTGAGTTCCCCCCCGCCCCCAGCCATGCCAGTTGTAAAACTGTAGGAGATGTGAGTGTTGGAAGAGTGTTGAACGGTAATTTAATTGTGTGCTGCAGTGGGTATTGCGGGATGTGAAAAGCTCACCAAAGGAGCTTAGACTTCTGAAGAAGAGAAGAAGAGATTGGATTTATACCCCGCCCTTCACTACCCAAAGGAGTTTCAGAGCGGCTTACAAACTCCTTCCCCTTCCCCCTCCCCACAACAGACACCCTGTGAGGTAGGTGGGGCCGAGAGAGCTCTGACAGAAACTGCTCTTTTTCAAGAACAGCTCTGACAGAACTGTGGCTTGCCCAAGGACATCCAGCAGGTGCAAATGGAGGAGTGGGGAATCAAACCCGGTTTCCCCAGATCAGAGTCCGCGCACTTAACCACGACACCAAACTGGGGTGTGAAAAGCTCGCCAAGGGAGCTTAGACTTTTGAGATCAATGAATGGAACATTGAGTTTCCTAGATAGTCCATTCACATATTCATTAATAAGGTGTCGGAGCAAGAACCCAACAGTTTTAAAGTTAAATCCCCTGACCTTAAATCATCCTAATTGTTCAGCCAGTGCTACTCATAATCTCGACAGAGGCAATACGCAGGGCAATATACTGTGATCCCTTACAGAATATATCACAGACTTTAATTTTGACTATTCAGGGGTGAGGCACAGGTAACGGAGAAATCTGTGCCCACCCAGTTTACCCCAATGTGGGCGGTCAGGTTAGAACGGATAAAAGGAAATACTTCTTCACCCAAAGAGTGATTAACACCTGGAATTCACTGCCACAGGAAGTGGTGGCGGCTACAAGCATGGACGGCTTCAAGAGGGAATTGGATAAGCATACGGAGCAGAGGTCCATCAGTGGCTATTAGCCACAAGGTATAGATAGGGGCTCCGGGGCAAGGGATGCTCTGTCTTCTTGGTGCTTGGGGGGGCCAACAGTGGGAGGGCTTGTAATGTCCTGGCCCCACTGCTGGACCTCCTGATGGCCCCTGGTGTTTTTGGCCACTGTGTGACAGAGTGTTGGACTGGATGGGCCTTTGGCCTGATCCAGCATTGGCTTCTCTTATGTTCTTATGTACCCCTAGACTTAGTAGCGGGAAGGGATGAAGACAGCTGTTCTGGACCTATGTTTACCCAGGTCCTTCCTGGCAAACAGCGGTGGGAGGGGGGGCTTACGGAGCAGCGGGGAGGCCCATCCAGTGTACAGCGATGTGCCCACATCGTCATGTCGGGGTGACGCTCTGGTATTTGGGCAAAAACCCTGTTGATTTTGGCTTCTGCCAGAGAGTTTTTGCCTAACTACCAGAGCGTCGTCCCCGGGGCTGTTTTTGTAGCAGGAGCTCCTTTGCATATTAGGCGACACACCCCCTAATGTAGCCAATCCTCCAAGAGCTTACAGAGCCCAACCTCCCAGATGTGATGGTGTCCCTTCCAGGTCACATGGGCAGCAACATAGACACTTCGCTGCATCTCCTTTTTAAACAGCCAGTTTGGTGTAGTGATTTAGGAGAGCGGACTCTAATCTGGGAGAACCAGGTTTGATTTCCCCCCACACACACACTCCTTCACATGCAGCTGCTGGGGTGACCTTGGGTCAGTCACGGTTCTCTCAGAGCTGTTCTCTCTAGGGCAGTCCTCGAAAGAGCTCTCTCAGCCCCACCTACCTCTCACAGGGGTGTCTGTTGTGTGGGGAGGGGAAGGGAAAGGAGTTTGTAAGCCGCTCTGAGACTCCTTCGGGTAGCAAAGGGCGGGGTATAAATCCAATCTCCTCCTCTTCTCTTTGAGGTAAGTTCCCCCTCTTGCTGGCCAGCTGATTGGCGGTGGGGGGGTGGGGTCTGTCAGTGGGGGAACCCTGCCTCCACGGGTGTGTGTGTGTGTGTCTTGCAACCCTCTCTGGACCGGAGTTGACACTGCAGAGTGGCCCGTACTGGATTCCCGGAGCGCTCCTGGCAGACTTGGTCAAATTCAGAGGCTGCTCTGTTTCTCTGTCCTCCGCGACTCCCGCCAGCCCCTTTTCTGTTCTCTCTGCTGATCACATCAAATTCCGAACCGAGCATGAATTCGCTTAGTGTCTTTTGGAGACCGCACTGGGGATTTTGCAGGGTCAAAAGAGTCTGTTAGCAGGCAGGGAAGCCCGGAAAGCAGGCAGCTGGACAAAGTGTCGTGGTGGTGGTGGGGGAAACCCCATCCATGGGCTGTCAGCAGTTGAGGTCTAGGAACTTCTAGCTCTACGGTGAGGCTTCCCAGTAAGCCAAACACGGCTGGATTCAGGTCAATGAAATTACAAGCCACAGAGTTTTGACTGCTGGGCTCTGTTCTCTGGAATCTTGAATGCAAGAAGCTGCCCCATACTGAGTCAGGCAAGCTGCTCTGTCAAGGTCAGGATTGGCCACTCAGACTGGCAGCAGCTTTCCCATCACCTACCGACTGGTCCTTTCTGACTGGAGGTGCCGGGGACTGAACCTGGGACTTTCTTCACGCCAAGCACAGGCCTCTCACGCTGAGCCACAGCCTCTCTTCTGAGTATCGTCTTCTCTGACTGGCAGTGTCTCGCCAAAGTTTTGTGGGTTTTTTTTTGGGGGGGGGGAGATCTGTCACATCACCCGCTGCCCAAACCTTCGTGAGATGCCAGGGATTGAACCTGCGCTCTCCTGCATGCCAAGACGATGCTGTATACCTGACCCGTGGTCCTTTCCCAAGGGGGGGGGGAGGAAGTCCCCCTACAGTGGACTTTAAGAAGGGGATGGCAAATGACAAGGTTACACTGACGAAAGCCGCGTTGGCCCCTTTGACGTCTCCAAGTGCAGAAGCGCTGTGTTTGAAGGCTGTACGATTGGTTTCCCTTTCTCTGTTGTATTCTGCGTAATGTTGGGAAACACGTCCGGATCTCCGTATTCATCTTTCATTCCCAGAAGCTGTGGGTCGGATCCAGACTCAACACATGTGTAAGGTAAAGGTCAAGGCTTCCCTTGCTCGAAAGACAGTCGAATCCAACTCAGGGTTGCGGTGCTCATCTCCATTTCCGAGCCGAAGAGCCAGCGCTGTCCAAAGACATCTCCGTGGTCGTGTGGCCGGCATGACTAGACGCCACGGCGCACGGAACGCTGTAACTTACCCACCGAAGCAGTGCCTATTTATCCACTTGCAATTCCTTGCTTTCAAACTGCTAGGTTGGCAGGAGCTGGAAGCAGAGACAGGAGCTCACTCCGTCATATGGCACGCGGGTCCCGAACTGCTGAACTACTGACCTTCCAGCCTACAGTTTCGAAATGCTAGGTTGGCAGGAGCTGGGGCCAGAGACGGGAGCTCACGCCGTCATGCGGCACTCAGGTCTCGAACTGCTGAACTACAGACCTTCCGGTCTGTAGCTCAGCGTCTTAACCACTGAGCCAGCGCAGCCCCTAACATGGAGTGAAGCAAGAGGGGGGGGGGAGTAATTCCTGCCAATTTCCTCTTCTTGATGCCACATCTAATGTATTCTCCATTCTTCCTGTGGGTTTCTCAGCCTTCAAGAGAGTGGCTTTTCTGGGCCTTGGGCAA